GTTTCCCACTGTCTGACGCATAATCCAGTCCACCACAATTAGGAATATCATCATTGTTGATAATAAGCACCCTTGTCTGACTCCTGTGTTTACTCTAAACGCCTCGCTGAGTTTTCCGTTGTGGGTCACTTGGCATGTGCCGTTGTCGTACAGTTGTTGAATAAGGTTGATGAATATTTGAGGTACGCCGTATTACTCGAGTAGTTTCCAAATTACTTCGCTGTCAACGCTGTCGAAGGCCTTCTCAAAGTCTATGAAGTTGAGGTAGAGATTTGATTGCCATTCCATACTTTGTTCGATTATGATGCGTAGAGTTGCAATTTGGTCAGAGCATGATTTGCCTTTCCTGAATCCAGCTTGTTCTGGTCGGAGTTCTGTATCCAGTGCGTCCTTGATTCTCTCCAGGATGATGCGACTCAGGATTTTACTTGGCGTCGACAGGAGCATGATTCCTCGCCAGTTCTTGCAGAGTCCCAGGTCGCCCTTCTTTGGTAGTTTCACTAGGTAACCTTTCCTCCAGTCAGTAGGCACCTTTCCCTCTTTCCAGATCTTTTGCAATAATGGAGTCAGCATATCTGTCGTCGTTTCTGGGTCCGCTTTCAGTGCTTCTGGGGGTATTCCATCTGGCCCAGCTGCTTTTCCAGCTTTGAGAAGCTTGATTGCATTCATGACTTCAGTTTTCGTTGGAGGATTGGTGTCAACTTGCAGTTGTGTACGTGCTGTTGTTGGTATTACTGGACGGGCTGCAGGTGGTGGTCGGTTCAAGAGTTCTTTGAAGTGGTCCGCCCATTGTTTAATCTGTCTTTCTTCTTTGGTAATTGAGTTCCCTTGGCTGTCTTTTATAGGTTTCACTTGTGTTGATCTCTTCCCGGATAGAGACTTGGTTATCTGATATAGTGTCCTCAGGTCCCTTTTGCCTGCTGTCTTCTCAGCTTCAGTGGCCAGATTGTCGTAGAATTGTCTTTTGTCCTTCCTAGCACTCTTCTTCACTTCTTTGTCCAGTGCTGTGTAAGTTGAGCTCAGCGTCTCTTTCTCTTGTCCACCTTTGCATTGAATCATTTTCTCTTTCACCATTCTCCTCTCCTCTTTTAGCTTCCAAGTGTCCGTTGAGAGCCATTCCTTGTCTTGTTTCTTCTTTCTTCCTGAAACCGTTGAACACGTTTCGTCGAAAATTACCTTCAGAGAGTTCCAATGGTCTTCCACGCATGATTCCTCAGTGATGCCATGTAGTGTTTCCTGCTTTGCTCTGACAGTTGCAGTGAAAGTGTCCTTTGTGGTTGTATCCTTCAGCTTTTGAGTGTTGAACTTGCATTGTGGCCTATTTCCAGGTATCCTAGAGGCTTTTAGCTTCACCTTGAAAGTCTCTTGTACTAGATAGTGGTCTGAACCCACATCTGCTCCTCTCCTCAACCTTGTGTCCAGTAGGCTCCGTCTCCACTTCCTTGAGATTGAAATGAAGTTTATCTGGTTTTTGGTGTGTCCATCTGGTGAAATCCATGTTGCCTTGTGTATATCCTTGTGTTTGAACACACTGCCACCAATCACTAAATCATTGAAGGCACAGAAGTCTGAGAAGAAATCACCATTTTCGTTCATTTCACCGAGGGCCTCGCGACCCATGTTGAGTTCTCTTCCTGTATTGTCTCCTCCCAGTTTCGAATTCATATCACCCATCAGGATTCTGATATCGCCATTTGGGACGTTGTCCATTACTGTTTGTAGTTGTCTGTAGAAATCCTCCTCCTTCTCTTGTTCTGACACGTTTGTAGGCGCATAGCATTGAATGATTGTAACCTTCCTTCCTTTTGAGTTGAACCTGGCTGTCATTATCCTGGAGGAGATTGGTTCCCACTGCATGAGAGCTTTGGCTGCTGTTGGTGACATCATGATGGCTACTCCCTCGGTGTGCTCGTGATTGTCCTCTGAGTGACCGGAGTAGATTATTGTCTCTCCAGTTGGTAGTTGGCATCTTCCGCATCCGTCCCATCTGCTCTCGCAGATTCCCAACACTTCCATTTTATATCTCCTCATTTCTGCGGCTACCTGGGTAGCCTTTCCAGTTTCGTACATTGTACGAATATTCCACGTCGCCATCCTTATTTTTGCTTTCATCGAAAGAAGGCACATCGGCTGACTGGCTTCCCGAAGGCTTTCACCAGCCTGCGTCATTTCACTTCCCCGATTCCAGCGAAAAATAAGGTTATTATTTGTATTTTTAGAATTTTTAATATATTTGTGCGTTGAAGTTTTAGTAGCAATTTGGTTAAGTTTTGGAGGTGGAGTTGCTAGCACCACGCCCCAACCCTCCCTCTTTATCCGGGCTTGGGACCGGCTAGAATACTAGTGACCTAGTAATCTAGGCGAGGTTTATTGGAAAAGATAATAAAGCTCTACTCAAACACCTTATAGTCGACACACCATAATGGGCAGTTTGAATACTGATAAATCCAAATAGCAGCATACTCACCCGAGGTTGTACAATATTACTCTCTCTTTGGTTTTATGTTTAAATGACAAAAAAACAACATTTAAAAGATTTAAAATTTATTTTATGCCTTAAAAACACAACGGTCGTTCTTCTGTAAAGTTCTGTGTTTGTATTTCTTCTAAAAGTTGAACAACCTTTCTTTGGTGTTTTTATTTATTCATCGTTACTTTCTGTTGCTTCACACAGTGGGCAATACAGTTTTTAAGGTGTTCGCCATTGAGGCTTTTTACAAAATGTTTTCTGTTCTTACTACTCATTTTGTTTTCTTAAATTATTCTGTATGATTTTGATGGACTAATGAAACACACTAATGATGTTATCTATCTGGTAGTGGCTACCAATGGAATCTAGGAAACCTAAAACACCCTGTTTGAGACTCGTCAACTGGACCTACCTGTATATCTTTGAGTGATGGTGCATACTGTGAGTCTTGACCACTCCACCGCCTGTGTCGGATGCACCATCTTTCGTAGTCGGCTAATAACTTATTACAGCCATCTTTTTTGTAACTGGTGCCATATATTGCTATCTGTTTCGCATTTGACCTCCTGTTCGCCACCATCAAACAAATAATTGGAAGCTCTAACCCGCAGCAGTATTCAGGTATTCATTTAAGAAGCCAATATATATTGGAAATATAATTCGATTCGATTATAGAACATAACAATTAAAAGGTAGAGGTATATGGAACAAATTTATTTTTGAATAATTAATCATCTTGGGTTTTGCAGCCTACTTTGTTCAGTTAGTGAAAAAATAGTCACTAAACTCTTCTGGATATTCAAACTAGTATTTGAATGTCCATAGTTTTATTGGTTGGTTTCAACTACGTTACTATGAATCAGAATATAACCCATTATTTCTAAAAAAAAGTAACTAATAAAAGTTTTTTACTGTTTTCATTATGATGAGGACGGTTCAATCACAGAACTGATTTAATTAGTTGAAATGGTCTTTCTGTTCTGCATCAGGCGTAATTTATTTATGCATAAGAGCTTTCAGTAATAACAAAACAAAATAGAAAAACGGATGAAATTTTGCATGGAATGAATCCGTTGTTCTCTACAAAGCCTTATATGGGCAAATCGCTAATTCCTAAAGGTCTGCACTATACACAGATATAATTTGTGAAGGTTCTCAAGAAGCGCATATACTTCTTTCGTTGCTACATACCCTCAAATATTATAAAAGCTACAGTACTATGCAGTCAGTTTCCCTTTTAAGCGTCAACTGATTAACAAGGGTGACATATTGTCAGTCAGCATTGCTGACGGCCATTCACGGTCCGTCTCGAAAATCACTGAAATTCAATAATATTGGCTTTGTATAGTGAACTAACTAGGGCTTCATAATAAAAATCACTAAATCATCGTTCATTAACTAAGTCACCACACAGTCGGATAATTGTCTTTCCTATATGCATGATATATAGTATCTACGATGGAGAAATCTTACGCTGTTACAAAATGTCGATGATTTCTTCCCGTCATTCTGTTACACAAGGGTTAATATTATCAATTTATTATTTGATAACACTGACTGAAGTCTGTTTATTAAATAAGTAATAAAAATAACATTTTGGTTGTTTTTCATTCTCATTTTGGGATTAATCATTCTTTCTTTATTATAACTTCTTTAAACTTGAGTTTTCATTCTTAGAATGCTTTTCAAGATATATATATATATATATATATATATATATATATTACAATAACGCCCTCCTTTAATTTCTGAGATCTCATGTAGGACCTCATGGTAAATCGGAAAATGAGTTTACTTGTCAACTTCAATATATTTTCAGAATAGTTCTTATCGGCTAACGGATAGCATAAGTACCACAGAATGTTGAGATGCTCTGAAACAACTAAACCATGATAATAATAATAATAATAGCTTTATTCCAAACAGTATTTGTGGTACAGGTATGGAATTTTCAGCGTGCAAAGTGTATTTTTTTCTCATTGTTATCAACAAAATCTTTGATAATACACTTTCTATACTTCGTTATTAATAAGAGTTCCCAAAAAAATTTAACTCCTAGTCAAAATACTCTCAATCAGACAGGCGTCACTCACTGACGAACTAGTCAGTTAATAGAAATTGAAAACACTATGGTAAACAACTAACTGTCATTTGAAGAGTATCATGTCTGATGAATCTCAACTGAATGAATGCTTAAATTTAAAAGTTAATATGGCTATAAATGTTTACTTAATGAAATTAACGAATTTGAAAAATCACTCAAATGATAAATGCTTCACTTTAAATAAGCTGTACGATTGTACACCTTTTCCTACATCAGGGTACAAATGTCCATTTTCTGACCAGAAATATACGAACAAACGAGTACTAGGATGATATCATAAAATTTCGAGTGCACTGGGATATTAAATGGTACATTCATGTGCTATTTTCAGATAGATTAGTTAAGCTTGAGAACTAACTTATATTTTGTTTTATATTTCTTTTTTTAAGAATTCAAAATTTCATTTAATTTTCTCTGCCTCTTTAGATGTCCAAAGGATTTCATTCAGTTTTATGATGGATTTCAGATAGACAACACAAGTATCAGTACGAATTCAATTGGTCAACGTATATGTGATATTTCGGAAGACAGTGTTCACATTGTATCTAGTGGGCCAAGTCTAGTCGTATTATTTGTAACGGGTCAGATACAAATGAGCCATACTAGTAGTAGTACTAATAATGATCAACAAAATGTCATGATGAGTGTGTCCAATTCAAATCGTCGTGGTTTTCGGTTGCGTTACACTTTTACAAAAAAACTGTTGCCTGTCAGTGAAATACCTGGGGGCAGTCATATTCGAGGAACAGGTAAGACAAAGTAATCATATAAATCTGTATAAATAAAGCACGATGCTTATCTGAAGTAAAGTCTTCTGTATTCTTTATGCAATTTTATTTCTAATTTTATTTTTATGAATATTATAGGGCCGATTAAAGCTACTGTAATAACTTATCTTAAAATAAAATCAACCGAAGATATCCTTTGCTAGTGACTGTCAGAAAGCACGAAATCCACAGGTCTTCTGTTGATTATCCCCTATTATCTTACAATAATTCAGAGTGCACTGCGATGGTAAGTCTCCTAGCCTGGTGATCACACTGACAACTTGACTGATATAATCCAATCAACACCGATAAATTCCAGATAGATTGGACTTATTACTACCTCATGATCAGTTCATGTAAATATTAGTCTGACAGGAAGTCAGTCAAGGACCGAAGAGCCCAGCGGTAGAGTCCCTGATTGTAGCACTGAGTGAAGCAAGTTCGAGTATTCTTCAAGTTTTCAATTACACCCTGCTGGTGAGTGCTAATAAGCAAAAATCCCAGGGATAGACCTTCCTACTGATTGTCGCCAAACATCTAACATGTACTCACAAAGTTACTTGATGGAAAATTCTATTTCAGTTTCTCCTTAGATTTCTGATGACATTTTCAGTAGGACTTATTTTCATAGAGGAAATATACCTCTCCCTTGAAGTTGTAGCCTACCATACTTCTTGTTAAAATGCTGTATTTGATCGTCAAGTTATTTAGATCACTGAAGGTCGTCATGTGGGATCGGACTATCTGTGTGAACCAGTTAGTGGATATCAGTCAACGTATCCATGTAGTTCTATAATCCTGTTGTAACATTTCTGATAAGTGTTTAATGGTAGTCGCTAAACTAGGTGGCGCAACACTCATTCTATAATATATAGAGAGCGACTAGTGTTTTCTCAAAGCTTTAAATGGATACTGCAAATTATTATTCCTATGGGTTCCGAGCGAAACTCAAGGCATCAACAGCACCTCCCCACTTCGTTCTTTTCTCTGCAGTTTTTTTAATTGGCTTTACGATTGCCCCTCCTCTACACACGATCTCCTTCATGTTACCGTCGGATGTCCAACTCCTCATTTCTTCTTCACATTTCATCTGAGGATCTGGCATAAGATGTCAATAATTATTAAAACTAGTTTCCACACGTTTCCATGGATTTATTAAGAAAATATCAAACTCAGGTTTATTTTCCAAAAATCCATCGTTTTTAACCTTCCAAAAATTTCCCTGCAATTTCCTAAGATGGAATTTTGATTGTTTCAATGGGCAGAGCGGGTTTTACTTAAAAAATGCATAAAATGAAACCGTCTGTAACACTAGCGTTGGGGGAATAAAGAAGTTAAGTCAAAGAAGAATGTGAAATATTGTCATTTGAAAGAGTCCAGCGGTGCACAGATGTTTGAAATATCAGTCTACAAATTACTACTCTAATGCTTTATATATTACTCAGATGAACAGCTGAACATTTGAAGTGATACGATCTTCGTGTCTTTGAAACATACATAATCCCTGTAGAGTAATATTCCACTGATCCTTTTTTATACATCATGCTTCTTCGTAAAGTTTAGTTACTTGTAAGTCGCTAACTGTTATTCACTTTACCGGCTCAATTCATTCATTCTTTTATTTTTAATTAAAATATTCTAGAGTGTGACTATCTGATAAGTCGTCATGATTCAGTTGAAAGACAACTTGAATCGCCCACGTTGAATAACAATCTTGTATTAATGCCAAACAGAGTATGCAATTTCATTTTTATTGGAGATCAGTTTAGACAATACTTTGAGACTGTATCTATTGGATTTGAACAAATAGAATTGCCGAAACCAAGTGAAGGAAGCCAAAAGTAAGCACTTAGTTTTGTCCTCATTAATATGTTAAGGGCGAAGTTAAACTTTAAGCACCACTAACTACCAATGGAGTGTGACCGCACCACTGACCTAGTAATGCTCACTGAGCAAGTTAGTGAAACCTGGCAGATAATGTTTTCATCATCAATAAAGTATGCTCATCGAAGTGTTATGCTATTAAATGGGATATCTGGGAAGTTACGGTTTAGGTCAAGGAAAAGTTAGGGTTAGGTTAACCTAATAAAGGCAACATTAGCGTTGGTTCGATAATGGATAAGAATTTATTTTTAAATCACACAGTGTAGTACAGTTATATTAACTGATGACGTTTCGAGCACAAACTATTGCTCATAATCATATCAACTTGATATGATTATGAGCAATAGTTTGTGCTCGAAACGTCATCAGTTAATATAACTGTACTACACTGTGTGATTTAAAAATAAATTCTTATCCATTATGGAATTATACTCTACCACAGTGCCCAAGTTTTATACTTATAGCGTTGGTTCGAGTTAGATTACAGTTATTTTAGGGGTATTTTCACTTCAGGGTTAGGTTCAGGAGAGATTGGGGTTATTATTAGGGTTAGAAGACCTAAATAATTACATGCACAGAATGTGGTTAAATTACTCTATTGATATAAGAATAGAACCTGTGCACTGTGGTAGAGCATAATTCCATTGCGGGTAAAATTTATAATCCATCCAAGACATACTTGGGTTCTATTTTGATGACGTCTGACGGTGTTATACTGATGACGTTTCGAGCACAATTTATTGCTCAGGAAGTATTACTGTATTATCAGAATAAAATTTACCCACAATGGGATTATACTCTGTTGATACTCCAAACTAAAACCGACAGTTATTTTTATAACATGTGAGAGGAAGGTATACTCTGCAGATTTTATGCATTTTTCATAAATATATGTATTCCATACACAAAAATGCCTCCTTCGTGTGATTGGTGCCTTCGAGATCATTCGCTGATTGGAAGTAATTGGTGCTTAAAGTTTAACTTTGCCATATTAAAGTGTTAGTTATGGAATACTTTTTTAAAGTTTCAGTATGACTAGAGTATAAAGTCACTAGTATAAAGATGATGGTCAGACTGAATCAAACTGTGTTAGAATTTCTGTCAATATATTCTGCTGATAATACAAGAACAAAGAAGCTCCATTCAGGCATTTCTGTCCATTGTCATTTTTAGTTGCACAACCCAAACTGTTTAATTTGCAAGTCTTTAACAGCAATTACTCTGGTATGTTTGAGTAAAACAACTGTTGGTGTATTTCACCATAATAACCCCTTTAGAGTGATACAAAGTGGGTCAAATATGCTTTGAGATATACTTCTATACAACTAATGATTTTCTTTATCTAAAACAAGAATAATGATATTATTGGAAGTGTTATTTACAACACCTTCACTAAGGATAGAACTCAGGACCTTAAGATTACGAAACCAGCCGGTCAGTCATTCAGTCACCAGAATATATAACTATATAACTAAGCGCCCTACGCCTAAAATGGAGGACCCCAGTGGCCAAAAGAAATTTGAATTGATTTAGTGGGCATAATCACTCTGTGACAAATTGTTTATAGACATGTGCTATTTGTTTTTAGACCAATAAAACGCTGCTATGTGTTAATGGTTGTTTCCCTTTTAAACGTTGTCTTTAATAACTGAAAGATACAATTGCAGAATTGGAGCATACTTGTAAGGAACCATTTTTTCTACTATTGTATTTGATATAGTAAGCGGTCTTATTAACTGGATAGTATGAAAAGCCCACGTGTAATCATAACTGTATATTAAACAAATTATATTACTTTATTACTACTGAATAAATTTGATAGTAAATTAACAACAAGTAGCATACTCTTATGTTCGCATGAACTAATTGACAAAGCATTGAATACAGTCGTGTCAGTTGAAAGAAAACAACGGTTAATATTTCAGTGAGCTTTTACTAATATCCTTCTATGAAGGATGGCACCCGGTTAAGTTAGAGAGCAGAAGAGACTGCTGAAAATTTCAGTGTGTGCTATAATTTTGACGAAATGAAATATATATTTTTTATGCAGAACAAAAAGGAATCCAAAGGTTGTTTAGAAGAAACACTTGACGAATATTCACTTAACGAAATATTCTCATATTGAGTCATAAGAAAAAGAAAAAGACGTAAAAGCCAATGAACATTTTCTTCTCGACGATTCATTTTCATAGGCTGTAATCGTAATAGCCAATGATACAGCTTGTACAATTACATTGATTAGTCACTCTCCCATATTTACTGCGTCATCCCAACTTCTGCCCCTTTTCTAATTTCTGATTAGTCACCCCTTCTAGATTACGCCTTACATTGCGTAATACATTTTCGAGGACAAATTTTACCAGTATCCGATTGGTCTTATGAATTCTTTGTTAAAGACATAATTACGATTGTACAGTTTATGATTGTGCGTCGGTGGCACACCGGAAGATTTCTTGCCAACCACGCAGGTGGTTTGGGGTTCGATACCCTGCCGACGGACTCCTTTACCTCGCAAAACCAAAAATAGGACTGGTAAAAAGGGAAGGTAGGGCATAAGGCTAGAAACCTGACCCATTAAAAATGAACACCACTGCTTCTGAAACTTCAAAACTCTAGCTTGAGGTCTTATGTTCCACTGGGAATACAAAGGAATAAAAAAATTTTTTATGACAATGAATAATCGAGAAGAGAATATTCAGTGGCTTTAGACCAATCAGGAGGGAAAAAGTTTATGTTCGCCATTCCACTCACTGATTACTGTCACAACTCTGTCATTAAATGTCGAAGGTACTATTCCGGACTCTTAATTGTACATTACTGAGCAGTACAAGAATGTATGGAGATATAATCCTCCTGCCTTTACCAGTTGTCTTAGTTCTGCAGCTAACGTCAATCTTCTGTGAAAATAACTGGGATTTTCTTTTAGGAAGTAGTAACATTGTCTCTGGTATAATTTATATGCCAATGGCCTGATATACTTTCATTCTTCTTCATTCATAATGTTGCTGATTTAAAAGATATTATTTTACATGTTTTGTTTTTAACTATGGCATTGCAGAATCATGGTCAGTGTAGTCTTCAGTATGTTTATTTGACCATGCTGATCAAACGTGAAAGGTATTCACTCAGCTGGACCACACGACACTGTTGCATGGTATAATCTCGCTTCCAGATGTTCGGAAGAATCGTTCAGGAGGAAGCCGTGGATCTAGGTTTCGTGTTTTTCTTTTGCTACCTGTTAACGAGTCCACCAGTTTGATTCTGAGTTGAGTGGGTTTCTCAAAGTGCCACATACATCTCTCCCATGACAATTGGCACTTGGTAAAACATGTTCTCACTTCATAAAGCTTTGGAATATCTTACTCAATCACTGGAATATCCAGTTCACATATTTGTGAAGATTGTACGTTTTTTAGTAGGAGGAAACCTTATCCAACTTCACTTCTGATAACTTATAATAGTCATTTTATGCCTACCACTTATCCATTTTAATGTGGTTACTCTTTCTTGAAGATATTTGCTTAGTCTATTCAAGCTTGCATCATTCTTAATTCATGAGTTTTAAAAAAATGAAATTATCAAGAACATGAAAATAGAAAAAATCAAATTGCACTAAGATGACAGTAGACAACTTGAAGACTACGTCCTGGTTATTCTTTTGAAAGTAAATCTCTAAGTGTTATATATGTGAAGATTCGTTATTTTATTCCTGACGAAATCTAGATCTTCTATCAACTCCAGTCCTACGACGTCTGGAAACTGAATTTATGAAGTGATAAATACTGTTTAGGATAGACTTTTTGATCATTCATTAGTCATTTACTCCCTAAATATGGTTCAAGTTATCCCTTATCAGTGCAGTATGGGAAGACTTGCTCACCTCATTAACTCTAGTCAGCTAGGATGAAATTCAAACTGAAAATCTTGGCTGAGAATCGTAGTTTAGCTGGTAAATTTACATACCGGTAGCTGGAAGATGATCATTTTGAACCCTCTTACCAATTAAGACAATAAGGTCAGCCAGTCTCTTTCAAAGCGTTGCACAAAAGCCAGATATATAGTAGGAGCAGATTATTCTTCCTCTACTACCAGTACTATTCTAAGCTATGGTAAAAACGAAACACAAAACTTAGACTCAGTCTTCACGTTTGTGTTTTTTAACTTGGTAATTTTAGTGGATTCCCTTGACACCTTATTATCCTATGTTCATGTATATACAGAATAGTGAATCAGTTTTTTTTAACTGATAATAAGTTGTACTAGGTTCTTTTCTAAAATGTGACTAGGCTTTTCCGAATTCATTTGACTAAATAGTATATATTTAAATGTATTGTAATGGTAGAAGATAAGAGAACTGGTAATGGAATTTTCTATTACGGAAAAGCATATCACATTTATGCATTTTAACCACATTAAAAGTCGGATAGGTCAGAGGACAATGAATTGTTCTGACCGAGGTTAAACATTGGGACAAAAAGTTGTCCAGTGAGATTATTTCATTTCAAAAATGTAAACTGGATCCATATTTGAGGAATGAACACTTCCGCTTTTTCAGACATCGTCTGAGAATGTTGACTTCAATTTTCGCCGCTTCCTGTCAGTCTTCATCTATAATACTACTGATAAATGTTGTCAGTAGCACACAAACAATATGTCTAATATGTTGTCTATGAATTTTAACTTAGTCGCAATTGGACAACTGGATCGGCTTATTCACTGATTGACTTACTTCTATGAAATTATTTCTAAATGCATCTCATTTACCATATGCATTATTAACTAGGGTTGACACACATATAGTTCTCTACGTTACATATAACTATTTATAAAAACGAAGTTGTCTAAATGAGAATTTTGTCTTTTATCGTTGTAAATCAAAATTTATGGGATGAGTATATATTTATGAACAAAGTAAGGACTAGGAATTAGGTAGGATAATATGAAATCATTCTATTTCGTCTATTCTCATCTTCTGCATACAACCTAAGAGAGTTTAAGTATCAATATACGAAATATTCACATGCTTTGACCAATTATTTAAGGGGGGGGAGGGTAACTATTAACATTACGTAGTCTGATGTACGAAGAGCAAATTGCTGCAAATGTATGATATGCCTAGAATGCTCACAGTCTACATCGATTTTCATATATTTAACAGGATGGTTACAAATTCCAGTCTCACATTCAATAGTGATAAGTTATTGGCTGCTTCACATAATCTTTGTTTCTAGCTCTGGATAATTATCCGCTGTCTGTCAAACTGTATTCAGGTAACTATTTCATTCCATTGGTAACAACAAGAATTTAGCACGAATAATTGAAACGAAATTGAACGGTGTAAATGTGAAACAGAAGCAGGTCTGTCAGTATGCCAGTCTTTTGTAACACTACTATCAAGACTTTTAACTTAATTTGACCTGTCCGGAAAGCAAACAGTTTCGAGTAGTTATGTCCGTGATCAGAAAAGAACGGCAGCTGACAAAGGTCATTCATTTATTCAGATAACTACTTCTAAATTTGCATTTTCATCGTTCAGTTAAGATGACAGTTTCCGAATTGTCCTGTCAGTTGTTAATTGCTTGATTTTAGCAAGTTGATAGAGGGTACTACTACCAATTTGTAAGAACAATTAAATGAATTCAGGAAATCATTTACACTGCTTTCAGTATATATTTAGTGGCGATCTCATCTATAGTTTATATTCTATCTAATTAACTGTTGAATAAGTAACAAAACGTTTTGTTCTTTGAGTTTATTCTACGAAGGTCAAATCGCTCATTTCCTATTTATTTCTTTGGTTGACCAAAAGCAGAGACTTTAAGTTAAGTCCTGTAAGGACGCATATCTTACTGATAAGAACTACGTGACCGCAAATTGAAATGAATTATCGAAATTCATCTAAACCAAGCAGATAGCAGGTCGAGTTATGCGTCTGTGATGGTACAATTGTCAGCCTCATCACCCCATCAAATATCCACTTATGAAAAGTTTGCTCATCGCAAAACAGTGCTACATAGCAGATATTCGACAAACGTGACTTCAAATACATGTTACTATTTCCTAGAGTGCTCCTATACGGAATTCTCATTTTCCATTTTTCGGCTTCTACCTAGTACATATAATGAACGAAGTATGTTGTTTCTTTGTCACTTACTTTTCAATGCAGACGATAGAGTTATCAGTTTAAAAACTGAGTTAGATATCTGTTAGATAAGTGATAATTTTAGCGGCAACATCAGGGTTATAGTTATGTAATCATAAAGCATTTGTTCTGGGTAAACATTAAACACACATTTCTCAGGTATCATCTAATTTTAACCTCTTCCACTTTGTCCAACTACATACTTGTTTGTTTGTAATGCTTACCGAGTGAATAAACAACAAAAAATGAAATTCAGTGCATTCTTCCGTGTTTTATTCCCGATATTTCTTGAGCTTTAACACTTTGCTGAAAATGTTTGACTGTAATGATAGGGAACCTTATCGAACTTTAATTTGGAAATATGTTAAGTAAGAGATGTGTGTAATACCAAATTTCTTAAGTTTTCCTTTTTCTCAAACTGTTGGTTGACTTTGCTATGGGAAAAAATGTGCTCAGTCTCTACACATTCGTACAGAATTTCACACTGTAGTACTATCTATTCTGAAACCATCACACAGGTAAATACACCTTATTCTTTATGTCCAAAGGATGCAGAATGTTGTTACTCCAAGATTAACCCACACAGCTTGATTCTTTCATGGAAATGGCAACTAATTCAATGTCCTGCTAGGTATTGTCATCATTCCACCAGTGCAAATGACCAATTAAATACCAATCAGCAAAGTGAGCTAGTCAAATTTTTAAGGAATGTTAACAAACTGAATTGATTGTCTGAAGCGTTTTTTTTCAAGTTTTCTGACAATAGTACACTAGTGTATCTTTTCACCACAAAAAAGACATACTAGTCTCAAGTGTTACTTTAAGTATGACGAAACACTTTCTTTAGCCACTACTCTCCCACTTTTTAAGATATGCTCGTCGAATAAAGTGTTTGAAGACGTAGAGTAAGCAAATGATTACGACTCATTTCTGTAATCAGTGTTGATTTCATTAGCTACAAAGCGTACTTTAGAAACTCCAGTCTTTATAAAAGACAACTTGCCGCGGATTTCTCTTTGTGCATATACCTTTCAGTGATAATTTTATATTCATGACAGTGATGATCGGCAGTCCGCTGGGTATTCAACTTACCTTTGGTAACGTATATTCTTAGGAGTGACTAATTCATAACATCTACTGAAAAAAAGGCTGTCTTTCAAATCAAAGCCTGAAATAATATTTTCACAGTATTTTTAGTTATCCATATTAAAATTCAGTATTACTACATAAATAGTTGGGTTTTATGCGTCTTCCACACTACTAATGTCGTAGTATGACATAGCATGAATTATCATTTCAAGGTAGAGTTAAAATACAAGATGAATCGGAGGGGTTTCATTTTGAAAAGGATGATTCAATGTTGAAAGTTGAATTTATTGTGTTTTACTCTATATGGTTTAAATTTTTGAAATTCCCACACCATTTCACCTAAGGTCACCGTGCTAAGACTAATTAAGTTGCACTTTAGGACATTTCTCCCTCATTAACCCTATGGATACCAGACCAGACGCCGAGATACTGTTGTTGTATACGAATAGTACAGCCGGACTCTTGTATTTTTCTCTCTTGATTTATTAACCCTGCTCAATACAAAATGTCTTCTCTTTGTCTTTATCTAAGATGGCCTACCAACTACAGTGCTTAACTGATTATAATTACGTTAGGTGGATATCTGGATGAAATGAGAAGTGTCATAAACTGTAATATCGAGAAGTCGAATTCCAAGGTTTGAAAACTGATTGAATGACTTTTAACACTTTCCCAGCAAGTACCTTCTGTATGCACAAAGATGTTTCATGTAATGCTGTTCAACATTATCCTACTGAGGGGCATTCTCCCTGTTTGAAGCAACAAGTGTCTGATTTCATTCTCGACTATAACATTATTATTCTCTTAAATGTACGTAAATCTAACCAATGAATGTCAGGTAGGACTAGAATCGTATCACTCTTAGCTCTTTCAAAACACAAATTGATTTTGCATTTTAAATGTTCATCAATTCAGATAGTTACATACGCAGAGCTTTGTATTTTTTGTCACTTACTTTTTTTCTAGATGTGACCGAGGTCATATGGCAATTTACGGAAGCAGATCGTCTATTGGTGATCAAATTATTCAGAAACCGAAGTATGAATATTCACATGAGATACTCCATTCGAATAAAGAACCTGATCATATCTTTTGCGATAGATTAAATGAACTAGAGTCAATTACAATTCGATCAGGATATCATCACTATCCAATCATTGGACGACATAATGTTCTTGTGATAAGATTTAATTCAAGTGGCTCTGACCTGCCTGGTCTAAGTATGAAATTTACTTTAAACTATAGATTTAAAAAGGGTATGTCATGTCTATTGTTTCCATAAAAATTATTTAAACTTCAGTCATTGTTTATATCCAAAAAGAAATGAAATGATTTCAATAATATTCCATGTTTTTACTTGAGTACCAGATAAGCGAAGAGTTCTCAATCGTTATCGTGACACATAGTTTACATGTTCGAAATTCTGTTGCTCTTCAGGTTTTCTATCATTTTAAGTTCTTGGTCTTCTTCTTCACATCCACAATGAAAATTTAAGAAGTAATTTGAACCAAACATTATGTGAATTCCCCTGTTGATAGGTAAACTACTGTTTGGTATGCCTAATCAAAAAGGTGAATATTGTAAGTTTGATGTCGCATAATGCAGTGATTGTCAACATTCCTGATGCTTGAAAGGAAGACGAATGGTTAATGCATAAATCTGTTTTGAAATCATGGAGGGGATTCACTGTTTAGGTGGATGCTTTTGATTATTATGAGAGATACAACTGACTTTTAGGAGGCCTATATATATATACATATGTATATATATATATATATATACATAAGAATCCATAATCCTAAGTTCAGGAAACTAAAACCTTCTACAAATGACAATTATGGTAAAAATGATTTCAATAAATTCCTCCATACTCAAATATTTCCACTATGTTGCAGATCGTATGAGAGTTTATTTGTATATTTGAGTGTACAGCAAAGCAGTAAGATTTTAAGCAAAAGAAAAACAACAGATCTATCTTCGCACGTGTGATTCACTTAAAACCAACTGTTCCTACCACTCACACTACAATCTTATATATATATATATACAACAGGGTTTGTGAATATTTCATTTACTATGGTTAGAATTCAAACTGAACCCGACTTCAATTAATTGGCTGAGTGATGGTGTCCTTGCAGCCTAACCTGACGTCAAAATTTCTTACCATTCCTGTGGTTATTGCAGTTAATCAATTTTGGGTATGCGGTGAGGGGAGGGTGAAATTAAGAGGTTAAAAGTCATCAAAACAATCAACTAATAGATATTAGTGACAAAAACTCTCAGTTTTGAAGCAGGGGTGAAGATTTTTTAATTACTGAATTCAAGATAAGTTAATTCATAGGCGTTAGCGACATGTTATTACACAGTCAAGAAATTTGTAAAATAATGCTCAACTCAACCCGCTCAGTTAGAATACGTCACTCAATGTTTATTTAATCTGATTTTAGATTTTAACCAATTAACGAAATTTGTTATCTAAAATTTACAATTCTAATGAATTTAGAATTCATGGACCATTGAATGGGTCTCAGTGGCTTAATGGTCTATGAGCTCGCCTTGCAACCAGAAGGTCCTAGGTTCGAACCCCTGTGGAGTGATGACTAGGACGACACAGCTCTCCAGTACTCCCAAATCTTCCAATGGTTCTCTAAACGATGTCAGCTCATGATGAAATCCTGTAACCAATCTAATGATAAATCCTTAGAAATATTCCTTTTGTTGCTGAGACAATTTACGAGATATATATGCGGTTGTACAGCTTGAGAATGATATCGGCAAAGAGAGTAACTCTTTGCTGAAAGCCTTATGTTTTACTCTATTCAGAAGAAAATTAAAATAATGATTGTAGTTTAAGGAAATAACTATGATGACATGATCAGTCGCAATTTCAAAGTTAGAAAAGTAGTAATTTATCGTAAGTTAATAAGATGATCGACATGTTTCTAATGGTTGCCTTAACAACGAAACGTGTGAAAACACACAAAAGCAACCAATGGCGTTCAGGGTCACCAGGAGAGATGACTAATGAACTCGTGGAGAAATCGAAAAGCTCCCTTCAAAGTGAAGTATCTGCTGAAGATGTTGCCTAGTAGGACAATGAAAGATTCGCAAATAAACCATCCAGCTCGGAGAACACAACTACATAAAAATTATCCACCTAAGCTACAAATCTTCTCCATCATATCGAAATCAGTTGTGTTAAAGTCAGCTTGTCAAAAAATGACAATAATAATAATAACGATGATAGGAGAAATAAGGCGACAGAATACATAATTATGTTATAAGTAGAAAAAATTACTACCAAAATAAATTGATACCAGTCATGTTTCCCTCCTGTATATATGTTTGTTCGTTTTGAGTTGTTTGATAGCGACAGACTCAACAAACTGGAGTAAATTTGGGATTCTCTACGTGTCGATAGTAGCAAATGAGGTTGGAAATCCACTTTGTGTCCCGGTTCCATTGGATGTCAGTCAGTTGCAGTAATTATTTAGTTTAGTTGTCTGTTAACAGTGAACCTGAGGTTAGATAAATAATGAAGACTTGTTAATCTGAAAAGGTATCATTCTATGGCATGTACATAATCCAACTCTATAAAGAGTTAATGGCCTATTAGTAAAGTCATTAACATCGGCTGTGACTGTTACAAGTATGCATTTTTCCTGTGATCATAGATACGCCTTAAAGTCGTTTTCAAATGACCGTGTAACCATTATTTATAGGCAAATGCTAATTGAGCACCAGCATCTAAATACAAAACCTACATCATTTGTAATACAGAATGAATTGTGGGAACTGTTTAATTACCTTATATACAAATTACTAAATATAATGTAATCTATAAGATTTTTGAGTGGTTTAACGTGTACGTTACGCAAGATGGAAATATTCAAACTGGTTCTGTTAATATTTATCTGTTTTTTTTGTTCTGTTTACTTTTGTTGTATTGAATTTGTCATTTTGACTAGATTTTGGTATTCCCGGTACAATGATCAATCCTGGTGGTTGTCAATTTTTGTATATTAATTCTTTCGACGCAACAGTATCTACCACTGAAGCTTCTTCTTCCTCTTCTACTGCTTCATCCAAATTATTTACCTCTCAAATGAATAAAATACCTCCTAAAGGGTGGACTAATTCACCGTTATATCCGAATGATTATTCACCCAATTCAGATTGCCTGTACATATTTACACCACAGACTGATTATCTTGTTGATCAGTCTATCCGATTAGTTTTTGAAACCTTTACAACTGCACATAGACTACAGATGAAAGATGTTTTTGTAAACATAACAGAAGTAGAGAGATTTCAGAATTGTCATGAGGTGAGTCTATTTGAATTGAAATCAATTATATATTTAACAATTAATAATGATAATGGCTTTATTCCAAACAATATTTTTGATGCAGTGTAGAATTTTAAGCATCTCGTTCTCTTCACGTTGTGTAGTGAGAAGGAAAACAGTTTCAAAACTTTCTAATATTTCCAGTAATATTAATAATATGTAACTGTCAAAATAATTAATAATAAATGCACGGGATTAATGACAACAATACATTGATGATAGGAAGAATACAGAGTTGTTTATCTACTATTTCTCAGTAATTTGTTGATCTTATACCTAATGCATTTTTCACAACATAAAGTTTTGCCAATCAAAATGTTGTCGAATTTTCATTTTTCGTCTTTAGTTTTATTTTAAGTCTGCATTATTTTTGAAACCTTTAATTCTACAATTTGATACAGGGTATTATACAAACAGGTAATGAATAATGCTTTTCTACTAAAAGTACTCATCATTGAAGCACTTTCATCCACTCAGAAACTCTGGTTTTGTTTAGGGTGATTATAAAAACCCTATCGGTAAAAAAATATGCAGAAAAATGGAGATAAATGCGATATATCCTGAGGAGACCACTGAGTGATATCATGCCCCAAACCGTCGAGTGAAACCCGGATGCGAAATAACCAGTTGGACTTCCTATGTTAACATTGGGGGAGATCGTGTAAGGAGGACATGAACGCCTGTGTACAATCGTTCAGCCAGCTAAAGAAAGGGCTTTAGAAGACACAGTGAAGTGAAGATGTGCTGCTGATGTCCTATGCTACACGTGTAATCCAAGGGAATAATAACAGTCTGTAGGACGGTAGATTAGTATGATCCGAATAGCTTAAAACTGATTCGGACTGATTTGTAAAGATATGCAGCGGAGTTCGCTGACTGATATTCCAATCTTACAGTCCGTTCATCGATTATAACAATGAAAAGTCAGTGTCAGGAGGACAAAAGTTACAGTATATCATTAAGTGAGAAACCACAAATTCGAGAAACTGTACTCACCTATCTAGTCTTTTATGGGAAATATAGAGATATAAGTAGTAAATAACATATCTCCATCATCTCATTTCGTAAGAATTCTAAAAACTCTAACCCACTAACTAGAATGAATTGCTTTCAAATAGTATGAAGACTGTAGCTTTAGGTGTTTACACAACTGAGAACTAAGTTATCTTAATACTTCAACATGACTGCTGTAGACTTGAATATCGATGATTATTCCAACTTTTCAGTAGTTATATGTTGGTTCTACGAATATTTCGCTCAGTAGTGTGATGAGCAAAGAAGAAATTTCTTCCGTCTATTATGTTTCAGTCATATATTTGTGATTCATATGATGTTAAAAGTAAATCACCAAATGGCTGTAGTACAGTGTATCATTTCGTCCAGATACTTAGCTTACTGAAAGAACTTCAAATCTAGCGTATGTGCTTTAACAAACTATAAAGATTTTACTGCTGTATCGATTAATGTCTACCGACTATTCAGTTCTGCAAGAAACAGTCTTGGCCTGAATAACCATGTAACAAGGTCTCTACAATAGTTGTGGACGCCTAGTTGATACGATTACATACTGTTACTGAATGAAAGTTTGAGAGAAAAAAACCAGTCAAGCTAATATCTAACATGATCCACTGGAGGTATGCAAACAGTATCATTATCACCGTAAGAAAGATAACAGAATGACTGCTTCAGAAGTAAGCTGCACCAGTAAGTATATCGTACAAAGATTCTACTTTCGCATACACCATGAATTTTTTTAATAAACATATATTGGTGTCATTTCATCATGAAATCTATGCTGCAAAACTTTTGCTATCAGATGCATTTCACTAAGCTCATCAAATGCAAATTTAGCTTAATCTAACTTATATCAAGTTTAAGTGCATTTTTTCCGCAAAATACTTCTGCAAAATATTTCCACTTGAATAATGAATTTTCTCCTGCTGCCTGGTCTTACATTTAGATAACCTTTACGGTTTCTTCACACTAGCAATTATCGAACCTTCTTGACATACACATATGTATACGCACACAAATACCTCCGGGCACTCATCAGCCTACATATGTCCACTTATTTTCATAAAATCAGTCACTATTTTCCACCTGACATGCAACAAATTAGAGCAATCTGTCAAAATGTCGATCAAATATATTTACTATTTACTATTAATTTCTTTTTAGTCCTTAAAACCTATTGGTTAGGTTAGATGGTTTTCAAGCAAATGCAAAGTTAATTTCTAAGGAATATCAACCCTTATTTTCAGGATAATAATTTAGATGATATTAAACAGACTATCGCAGTGGAGAAGATTTTCTTTTTGACAAATTCATCAGCTAGGCTATACATCCATGTATTTATAGTAAATGGGTGAGAAAGTTCCAGAGTTATATTAAGCCAAAGGTCAAATTAATCAGTTTGCAAATAGCGATTAAAATATAATAATAATAATAATAACAAACACAAAGATGTGATTGTGTTATTATTGTAATTATTTGTAATATGATTAATTTGACTCTTTTCGCGAAATAGCTCTGGAACTTTCTCACCCATTTACTGTAAATACACGAATGTACAGCCTAGTTGATGACTTCGTCGAAAAGAAAATTTTCTTCTTTGTAATCGTCTTTTTAATTTCTCCTACGACAATAACTTGTTGAAAGTAAGGACTTTTATTTTAGAAAACTACTTTAACTGTCTACATTTCGATTGACTGATGTCCTGATGACCTTATGAAGTATTCCAGCGATTTCATTATGTATTTCATTATATCTGAAGTTTGGAGGTAGTTGGAAATTCAGTCTCTGTATTCATATGTGGAAAAACAGTTAATGTTCAGTGAGGAAATATTTCTTTTCAACGGCCTCCTTTTCAAGCTGTACAGTAGTATTTACATTCTGGAAAAATGACAGTAAGTAGCACTAAAAATTGCTCAGTCAATACACAGTGATAAGAATATGATTTTCAGGAGGGTAGAGTTGAAGTGGACAAATTACAAAATTTTAAAAGAATATTGAATAGATGAATTGAAATTAAGATTTTAAAAGCAGGTCAAGTGTTGTCAAAAGTTATGAGTCTGATGAAAATAGCAATGAAAAAGGCGAAGATAAAGTGAAGTGGAATGAATTTCAGCATTAAAATATGAGATAAGAACATTACTACAACCAAAGTGAAGAAAGGGGTTTAACAAAGGATTTTTGAATACAGAATTTAGGCTTTTGTCCATGTATAGCTACAGCTTCGGTTATACATCAGTACAGAAAAAAGTAAACTTTCAGAGAGACTGAATTTGGCCCTGTAGATAACTTTGAAAGACAAATTGCATAGGGCTGAATGATCTGACTTGAGAAGCTGTTCATAAATAGAAGACTTCATCATCCTATACCCGCCTTTCATTAACCAAACTTAATTATGTTAACGGAGAAAATGCTTACAACGTCATCTGTAATCTGTTCCACACGAGCATACATATATCAGTGGACATAGGTGTTAGTTTATCCTTCATGGATTATCGAATCATACATCGGTTGGAGAATATTAGGTGTAAATCAGCGGCATTAAAACAGCATTTCATACTGTTGTATAGCTTGAAAATGAGGCTGTTGAAAAGAAGTATTTCTTTGCTATACAAAAATCTGTGTTTTTCCTTATGAATAAATGGGTATATTTTATGAGTCTCTGTAGTCGCAAACTGTTCTTTGAAATGGTCCTTTCTTTCACTTCTACTACCGATTAAAATGAGTGCATGTAAATACTCAGTTGAATCAAGAATATTGTAGAACCTTTTCATCTCATCAATGAATATCTCTTGAACGTCATAATAGCAAGACAATTCATCCGACTGTCGTTACCTAGATGGCAGATAAAATGAATATCAAATTTTTAAATCAATTAATTGGGTTCAATGAGCCTTACTGATTATCCCTCAACGGTTTCTAAAGTCAACAAAATCTTACAGCTGTAAACGAATACAATTCAGAAATATGCACATCTTAACACATTAGGCTATAGGTCAATTTTTTGATGATCAGTGGGTAACTAAATGACTATTCAAACCATGGTTTCCGTCCATTCTTCCTTATTTATTACCTAATTAATAAAACAGTCTTCATGAACTATATCTCGAATTACTGCTTCTTAAGTCAGTCGGCTATCAGAACCAAGCTGAAGTAAGCCTCTGGAGCATAGATAGTGACTATATATTCTCAAGGTAAATAAAAAAACACTTCATATTGGAAATTCAACAATTTGTTGTAAACTGACTACAGCAACACTCTTCCTTAAATAAAGGAAGACAGTATCAATGTGTAACCTAATTTGACTGGATCTTTAAATGAACTGGAGTATTGTACAAACCAATACCTATTCTCTGAAGAGTAATGTTCAAACTTTTCCACCGTGAATATCTACCTCATGATTAGTAATGAAGATTAAAGTACAGAATTATACATAGTAAAACTATCACTGATAATCAATGAATTTCAGTGTTCTACTTCACTGCGTACTAATGCTTTGATGTTCTTATTTCAGGACTTTCTTGAAATAATACAACTATACATTCCATTAAAAGAAGAAGTGATGAGTGCACTAACTTCACGTGTAAATTATCCATCTACGCTTGAAAGATCATATGAGGCATGGATACAACGTTGGCATAATTTGGAAAAAGAACTGCAAATCTACCTTGGAACAAATCAGCATATATTAGAGCCTACAAGTGTATATTGTGGAAGTTATGTACCAGGTCCAGTCGTTTCAGATATGTCAGCTACCGCTATTCTAATGCGATTTCATAGCGGACAGAATACTACCTCCAAAGGTTTCACACTGACCTACGAATTTCTACCGAAAGCACTTCTCAATCCAATCAAATCAAATGTTGCGGATAAACTCGGTAACTTGTTAATTGCTTAATTCCTATTATTTTGTCCATCACTTCACATTGTTATTCCTTAAATGTGTAATTTAAGAAGATCATACTGGGATGGTCTATTGTTCACAACCTAGAATGAACTGTGTTTAACATTCGATCTCGTAAGTATGGAACGGCAAGCCTTAATAACTACTGGATTTAATCAAAATTCCACAGCTACTGTTTACTAGTACAACTCATATCTACCTTTAGGGACCAGTATATATATGATTTATATAAAGGGATAAGTGATCAACATTCTTTCCAAGCAAACAGTTACGCAATACTTTAGTATAATGATATTTAGCATTGAGTTTCAAATATCCAGCCTTCTGCAGACTTAAACAAATTAATGCTGATACATATAAAAAAAGGAATATTATTACGAATAGATAATATGTGGATTGGAAGTTAGCTCAGATAAATTAAATCCAACATACTACAGGGAAAATACACCTAAGTGTCTTTTCATCAGTTAATGTCACTAAAATTATTACTTTATGCAATCAAGAAAAGTATTAAGTGTGTATTTAGTCTATACAAAGAATCAGTGTTTTCATTAAATGTAGTCATTTGTGAATTTTTTACGCCTTAGTTTATTTTTTTCTTGTACCTGAAAACACTACTAGATCTGTAAAACCTCTTCATTTCGCTTGGGGAAGAGTAGTTCTCACTTTCTGTTATTAGGTTCCAAAGAGAAATCGTAAGAGTTGAATATCGTTCTTAATTTCAATAAAGATAATCATTTAATAAGGCAAAACAACAACATAGAGTAATTTTCATTTCTTGTGACTGTTGTCTTATTTTCTCAGTTGTAGGTAATCATCGCATGAATATGTAGCTTATTTTTCCCATTGATTGTGTTAGACTTAAATGAAATCAACTGTTTTCTGGATGAGTATACGACTGTCCCTGTTCATTACTACTTATCAATGAAACGGAGATTTCAACAAAGAAAATCTTTTCGATGACTTCAATTTTAATAGTTGTACGACCGTGTATATGTGTGTGTTGCAGTGTGACAGTGATTGGAAATACTTAAGTATGATGATACTAGTGTATATGATTATAAGTCACAAACTGATTAGATTTTTGGATGAATGAAGTTCAACAGACTTGTATGAAATAGATAACGGAAAAATAAAGTACATGCAGAAATGTGAATATGTGAATATAATATGGCGTAAACATAAAATGAGTAAATCCATATATACATATATATATGTGATTGCACAGCTATGAAAATGAAATCGTCGTAAAGAGAATTTTCTCCACTGAAATATTTGTTTTATGTCGGAATGGAGATTATCAATTTGCTTATGAATATTTTGACGGAGAAGTTTTGAAGTGGAATGCACATTCCTGATCTTTTTTGAAAATTGATCTTGAACAAAAGAATGTAGTCTGTGCCAGCACAGTTGCACATCTACATAAAGATTAGTTATTGTATATTAAAAACAGTTCATACAACTAGAATCCAACTTCTTTGTTATTCTCACTGTTTTCTGATCGTCATTGACTATATTTCAGTGTTTCTGTGATCCTGAATACTCAGCTTCGATATTGAAAATTACAGGGATTTCTGTCTATGGTCACGAAAGTTACTCATCTTTTTTTCACCCATCTGTTTGAACTGGTGAAAGTGCCAATCTTAATCATCCTTATATATTAATTCTCTGAGACTATGCATTACTTCTCCTAATCTTTACTTGTTTTATAGATTATTATTGTTTCAGTTTTTCTACCAATAGTATTCCCCATGAACCACATGAAAACTGACTCACCGTTTTGGACGAAAACAAGTGAAAACTACAAGCTCTGGGGAGCCGTTTTAACCAATCCTATAGCTTGATTATCTGTGCTAGAGAGAATCATTTCAGTTTCATAGTTTTAAGTGCTTCAAATCATCATTGAAACAAAAAATTAAAATTTTCATTTCTGTTTAGTATTCTGTTTTATTTAAATATTTACCTTTCATGATAATAATGATAAACATGGTGATACTAACAACAATATGCCAACTTTAAAAATATTACATTAATTTGCTTTAGGAAGTATTAAGCCAACTGACAAAGAATTAAACTGAAGCAGAAACGTGCTTTTACAGTTTTTGTGTATTAATCTTATTTTATGGACTTTTTTGTTTTTTCTTCATCTTGCAAAGTTTGCTTAACTTTTTTCCCTAAAATTTCTTGATTTTCTTTTAGCTAGCGATAATAATAATAAGGCTAAGCAAACGAAAAAATATGTGGCAGGTGGTTTAATAACATCACCAAACTACCCAAATTCATACACGAATGGTTATAATCATGAGTGGTATATTAAAGGAACCCTTGATAACAGTCGCATTCAACTTCAGTTTAACTTCTTAGAATTGGAGGGTTCACTAATGAGTGAGTTCACCTTTATCAATACACTTTTGAAAATGTCTTTGCGTTTCGAATAGAAAATAGAGTTTCAAGCTTGAGCTTTAAAGTTTTATTAGCGTCGATGTTCTTTTTCTAGCTTGACATCCAGCCTTCCCTGTTTACCAGGCTTGCTACAGACTAAGTGAGGTTTAGGAGTGTGTTGGCCGGGAATTGAACGTGGAACACGTGCGTGGTTGATGACCATTAAACTACTCAATCACTGGTACAGTTATTTATACATTGTTAATATGAAATCGACTTTTTTACATTTTATGTTGATGTTGATCAACCGATGTCATTCAGGAACGGGCACATCAAACAACGCGGTCTTCCATTATTGCCCATATTTCAGATGTCACTGTTAAATTCAGAAAATCTTTCTACCGTAAATACTGGTCACCTGGGGAGAGAAGGTTTTGTTGTGACGAATTTGGTGACTCAATTTTGTTCGAATTTGATAGGTTGACAACATGAATCGTAGAATATGGTCTTGATTAAGTGAATTAACTTGATTTATTTAATGGACAGAAGTAGTGGAAAGAATTTATAATAGGACAACTGATTACTGATTTATTTTAATATAGAAACTACTGCGTATTTATTTTCATCCCTAATTACATAAACTAGACCTTTTGGTCGCTAATTTAGTAGCTTACTTTAGTATTTAATAGGACGTTTAACTAGGTAATTCATCAGTATGTAATTAATGTATACGAAACTATATCTATTAGAGTACACTGTAATATCTCTAATTCCCTTAACACTGTTCAAACTCTTGCCTTACAGACTTCATCAGAAGAACATTGTGCGGATGGCAGGTTCTAAAATGACTTCCACCAGTAATTATCGCTAAATTTCATGTGTTCGTAGATGAAATGCAAGTACATAGTACATGAAGGATATAATCATTCCATTACATCCCATAACTGATTTCGATAATCACACTAATTATCCGTGCAATTATTTTTGGAATCGATACTTCTATCGGTGAATGTTCGCCAATCACACACACAATCTAGGGTTCACTTTCCAGCCAGTGCATACCTGAAATCCGACTAGGTTACTGGCCGATGGTAAGCTGAGAAAAGTGTTTGATGTAAGGCCATCAATCTCATCCCATAAAAACAATACCACTATTGCTAATGAATCTTCAAAGCTTGGAACTCTGTGTTCCACTCAGAACGCCAAAGAATGAGCGAAAAGTGGACGTTTCCTCTAATTTCACATTAAATTTATGAGTGAGAAATAAGTTTATTCCACAGTTCTGGACATATTTAGCCTTCTTTTCACGAACTTGTAAAACAACATGAAAAGTAGAAGCATTTTATGTAAACTGTAAAGCTTGAAGCAGTCTTTCCTGCAGATAAATAATTTGTAAATTACTCATTCGTAATGCTAGCAAAACTCTCATTAGAAATCAATTAGCTGAAATCACAAATTCAGATGTGTGACACTAATAAGCCAGAAACTAACAAAAATTACATTAAAGAATATAAATTTAAAACAGATATTATCCTTACTGACGTGTAGAATGGGCTAAGCAAACTCAGCATCAAACCTGTTCAGAGAACACTGATTATATATATGATAGATATTTACACGGAAAAATATTCTATTTCTTAAATCACATGGTTTTTCTTTTTAAATCACAGATTGTTCAAGAGCAGTCCTTCGGATATACGAGGGTCACAATCCTAGAAGTCTTTATGAGTTTTGCGGGAATCCTAGCGAGCTTTCTTCAATTATTATATCTAATCCTGTAGCAAGAGTGAAGTAAGTTAATTATTGGTAATAAAAATGTATTTCTTTCTAAGCCTAAAAGGAATGATATTCTTTGGTACTATGCTTTACAGCCTTTTAGTCAGAAGTATGTACAGGCCTACATTTATTTGAGTGTTTCCCTTCAGCATTGCATACCAGTAAGTGGATGGCTAAGTCTAGAGTAAGACAAAAACAACTGATATTAAATAAATTTGCACAGACTTCACCTATGGAAATTCTTATCTTTCTTTTTTCCATATATAACGTGGCCTTCCATCTTATTTTATTATTTTGTGATGTAGAAAACTCTGCTTTCAAATTAAGCATTTTAAAAAAACAATCATCTCTCTTCAACCTTAGTCAGCCTTGTAGGCTTGAATATCGGGATTTTTCTTTTAGTTAACTTCTATCTACGTAAGTAGCTACTTATAATCAGTTACTTTTCCGTACATGGGTTGAATGAAACAAGTTTAATTTCAACACCTATAAGAAAAGAAAGACAAGGGGGATAATTGGAAATTGTTTTTACCTGCATGTTGTAAATTATTATTTTCCGAAAAAGAATTTAAATAGAAATCATAAGAGCACTTCGTCTGATGAGTATAACTATCAACAAGTCTTCGTTTGTAATCACCAGTTAAAATTCACATGAGCATGATTTCCGGCGATTGATTTTTCTTAACAGTAACTACTGTATTACTTGATTAGTGAATGTGATTTCACCATATACTCTTAAGAACGAATTTGTCGAGCACTTAACTCTGGATCTGGGAGTCTACTACTGAGCATGAGATTGCTTTAATACGTTTGAGGGTTGTGAATGAGATAGAACGACTTACATTTCTGGATGTAAAAACACACACTACAGCAAGTAATAACATTAAAAGTCTTCCACAATAAAAATTTTATATTATTGACAAGTGGACCACCAAATTAGTAGTTTTTATATTTAGTTAAATGTCCTTGTAGTTAGGGCTCAGCAAACACTTATGAAACTTATAAAATAGCACAAACCAAAATAAAGGAGAGAGCTATTTCTCGATTTATCTTCGTTCAAAACTACTTACTATAAGTTTATTTATTTATTTTACTTTCGTTGAGGTGATTATCCTCACAGTTATTGTTGTTGACCGAGTACACTAACGGACTTGCACACACTTTAGTAAACATTGTCTACCAAAGACGTAAAATACCAGTAGAAGGAAGGGTTGGTAGGTGGATAATTGAATATGTCTCATTTGGCTTCCTCCCATATCATTTTTATTCCTCTTGTTGAGAACAATTTTTTGTTTGTTTTTCGACTTAATAATGTATTATTGGACTGGATTTGTATTATATGCAAATGATTACAATGTAAAGATAGGTGAAATAAATCGCTTACTACTTAACCTTAACCTATAAGGAACTGTTCACATTGTTAACTGAAAACAGTTTCCGTAGTGGGAATGGCTTAGCAAAATGATTTATACAAGCAATAAAATCTATTTGTAGCGTATTCAGGTCATGTGTCCTACTGAAATTTACGAATTCATTAATTGGGATAGCTTCATTAGAAGTCGGGTTTTTTTGAAAAAGTTAATGTGTTTGCACGATGCATGTGGAATAGTCTAATCACACATTTACTTGCCAAATCAGTTTCGACTGAAGACTTAAAAGAGGTTCTTATGAACACTTACATTACAAATTGACAAAAAGAATGCCTGGAATTTCTCATTTGAATGTTAAACAGTTTCAAGTGAAAATCACGACGGTAATCTCTGGAGACTGAGAATATTCATATCACAATATGAAATCTACTTAGTACTAAAACTGGCAACAAGAGCTGAGTGATTTCCAAATACTCATATTAATCAATTATATATGCGATCTTACAAAAATAGTACTTGTTTGGAAACATTAAGGTTTCTAATCAAGTATAGTAAAAAGCTTTTATTTTGCAACATCAAAGTGTGCTTTATTTAATTGTGACTAAGTACAATTACCACGGTAATAGCATTTTTTTGGATTTATCTTTTTCTAAACTACAAAAATAGAATGCACACAGCAACGGATGCTTCGGGTTCTAAAGGTTTTGAGTTGGTTTGGACGGATTTGCTTCCAAATGATCCTGAAAGTGAGTTTAAATCATTTTCCTCAACTTTTTAGACTGAATATTCATCTGTCGATAAATTACTTTCCTTGTTTGTTTAGAATGATAAAATCATTTCTTTTCTGTACAATAGATAATTGTATGGAGGAAAATGTCCCTTTGTATTGGATACAAAGACTAGCCGTTATACAGCATTATATATAGAAGTTCTATGTACTCATGTAAAGAATACAGTAGTTAAATGATCTCAAACGCATAACTTGATAACAGAGAGAAAATGTGTTTAGAATATAACCCAACAGACCACAGTTATGGTTAATGTTCAGAACATGGGCAATTAACCACTGAGTAAAAAATTTGATAATTACATTAGATATTCAAGTGTTGGTTTGCAGGTATTTGATTGGTTTCAGGATTTCACCATGAACTGACATCGGTTTGAGAATCACTGTAAAATCTGGGAGTACTGGACAGCTGTTTCGTCCTAGTTTTGGACTCCTCAAAGGTTTGTTCCCGATGGGGTACGAACCCGGGGCCTTCTCGTTACAAGGTGAGCTCATAGACCATTCAGCTACTGGAACTCGATCTAACGACCAGCCCATGAATCTCAACTTCTGTCAACTCACGATACAGCGTGACCACCAACCAATTTCATCGGCGAGTATTTGTCTTCACACCTAACCTGCTGTACCCCACTGGTCGCGACTTCCAACTAGAACCCAGATAACTGCTTATCTGAATAGAGCCAGTCTCTAGTGAGCATCTGATTAATTACAGGATTTTACCATAAGCTGACATTGGTTAGAGAGTGACATTGTAGTCTGTCAAAGGTAGAGCACAATTAATTAACTAAGTCCCATGACATACCGGAGTCGAAAGAGTTGTGTGGATGTTGTTATATCATGAACCATTGAAGAAAAGAAAGGTAGGATGCTTAAGTAAATACATAGTGTGGCATAACGACAACACGTTAAGAGAAATAATTTCTCAATGGTGAAAGCTTGAATACAAAAAAGGGGTTAAGCGAAGAGTTACTCTTTTCGTCGACATCATTCTCAAGCTATTTCTATTATTTTTTTATTTTTATTTATCTCTATCAGGTTAATTGATTATGAATAATTTAGTAACTAGTATTATATATATATGTTAGTAATTTACAAACGTAGTAATTTTCATATTAAATAAGTTTGTTTCATATAAAGCAGTGATACGATGCACTCACTCACATAAGATCATGTAGCAGACTGGAACAGGGTAAAAGTATTAGAAAGTGATATAGTTAGATGGAGAGAGAGAGAGGGAGAAAGGGATTCGTTCCCGAACCTTCGTTCATCGAATCAACACCGAACACGTGCAGTCGAAGTGACGCTGTGTTCATACCGTTTATTCGGAGATTACATTGAAAAACAAGACGCGTTATTCAACTCTATATAAAGCAAGTTATAAAGTCGTGTTGATACACTGATATGATTATCAGCAATACAGTGATATCACTTTTAAGCTGCACAATTGCGTACATATGGTAAATTCTAATAGGGACAAAAGGAGAACGAAGTAAACATTTTTAAAACCCCAGAAGCGATGGCAATCCACATGTTAAATCTCGAACACTGAATACAGAGGAAGTTTGTTCTGTCACTGAACCTGTCATGAGCCTAATCTGTGCTGATGCTGGATGCGTAATTCTTTTGATTTTTAAGTATATGTATATGAGATTGTATAGCTTGAGAATGTTGTTGACGAAAGAAAACTTGTAATCAATGAAATCCATGCAAATCAAGATTTGAGAGTTATCTGTTTTAGCCAGATATTATGTACTGATAGCCAGCTTACGAAAACTACCCACAATAAATATATTTTTGTTTCTGGACTGTAGTAGCTATCCTGGCACCCAGGTCTGCTGAAGTATGCAGAATTGATCTATTTTCAGGATGACTTACTAACCAACAGAAAACTGTCAATATTAAGCTCGTGAAAGATAAATATATCTCATGAGTGTGGTTAAGCAGAACAGATTATTCATAACAAAAGACAGTAATGAAAAACAGTTTAAAAAAGCACTTTAAATTAAATCAGTGACACGTCGTTTTTAGAAATCCTGTTTGATTTCTAGTATTTATTAATATTAGTGTTTCACAGAGGTGAAACTAAGTGTTTCGCTACTAAACGCTATTTCCGTAATAAGAAACTGAATCGATCAACTATGAATTCACATAAATATGTAGTCGTGAAAGGTTAAACTGCTCAATTCACTGAAATTCGGCTGTCCGGAATGAATGCTATACGAATATAGGAACTAGACAGGACTGTTTGCTACTTCTCTCGAACACAAGGTTCTAAAATTTTGTACGAAACCAAATTTATGTTACCATTATATTTATCATCGCTTTCTTTATTCATAGAAGTCAGTCCACTAAAGTTATAGAATGTCAGTTGGTTTATTCAGTCATTGACTAATCATCGCTGAATAAAATTTATGATTTATGTATATTTCTTGAAAATATACTAATATACAACTGCTGAAAGATATGCTGTCAGTATTACAGTATACAAAGAAGCTTTACGAGTTGTAAATAATCCTTCACCCACCCGCCCGGCTCTTGAATTATGCTGTACCAAATCTAATACCACTTTGCTTTTAGATAGTATAATCAACTGTTGTACAACAAGCTACTTTTACTTTATCCATTCGCATTACTGTAAAAACAGGAGGAGGTGTTATTTTACAAACTCAGATTAGAATCCGTTAAAGAAGTAAATGTATTCGAGGATATATGACTGATGCTTTATATTTCCTACTGAATATTTCAATTTAACATTTTGCATATATTTAGTGGGAAAGAAACATTTTCATGTTTTAAAATACTTTCACAGTTGGATGTAAAGGATTTCTGTGTGAACACACCAGTCATTGTATATACAATGATCTAGAATGTGACGAAATTCCAAATTGTGGGATGTATCAAAAGAACGGAAAATGGGTAAAAGATGAGTCAGATGAAACGATTAATTGTAAGTGTTCCTTCTAATTTTATTTTTTATCACTCTATGTTACTATTAGTATTCATTATGATTCACATAAATTGAAGTGAATAGGAAATATGAATGAAATGATCATGAGAATAAACTGCATTCACTCTACGATCCTGGAACTAAAAACTATTATGAACTTGTTTTCCAGGAAATAAAGGTTAATTTGTCAATAAAAAAATCAGAGAATTTTTAACAGATTGACTGATAAGTTTATCTAGACGTGTACTTTTTTTATCTTCTAACTTTAAAGGATATCGAAAGAGTCGTATGATATACAAAATTACTATATAAAATTACAGACACTGGCTAGGCCTATGGATACAACATCAACATTAAGCTATAGTTTATGGCTTAAGCAAAGTATTGCATAATTCCACTTATAAAATCATCACAGCAACTACCAGTATTCATGCACTTATTGAAGACCTACTATCTCTGATACACTCGACAGTAATGATATGAATTTTATGATTATTATGGAATTAAAGTTTGAGGATTATTGCCAGTGATTCACAAGGCTGTATTTTATTCAGAAAATTGTATTAAGAATTATCTATGCTCATCAAAATATGAAATGATATCTCAAATACTTTAGTTTCAGCACTTCACCCATACACCCGTTTCTAGCAAAAGGATAAGGCTTACCTTTTAAAAAAATTTTTTCAGATGCACAAACTGAGTAGAAATGGATTGTGTCAGTTTTGTAGTTCCATCATTGGGAGTTTTTGTGAGAAAAGAATTCTGCGCCATTTTAAACCCAATTTCACATACAGTTAAGCGTAGCATATTCTATGTGAGGATTTTTACTGGCACTTTTTTCTACTTTTGTTTTTGAATCCACGATTTGTGAATTCAACAAAAATGTCACAGTGGAGTCAACTGGTACTAGCTTCTTTTAGACACACTTATGTATTCACTTTGTTGGAACAACTTCTTGATTTTCGGACTACATGTAGAGCCTAAATGCAAAAAATTGTATACTACTGATTGATTGAGATGAGTCGTTGTATACTACTCACATCAACCAGTAGTATTTGCTAGACACACGGACCGGTGTTTAGATCACTTTGAGCTGGTCAGAAAATACTACTGTGGTGAGTGGTACTTATAATCGGATATGAGTAGTATATGAGTAAACGAATTCAGAAAAGTAACATTATGTTTTGGGCATTGGAAAAAGCGGTCAAAGGAGAGAACTGTGAGGAGAACATTACAACACTGTGCAGAATTCAACAAGCTATCGAATGTGGTGATATTCGACCAATTTGCATATGATGTGTAAATAAGGACTTAGAGATAAGGTGTGCCAAATTTATCTACCTACAATGCGTTTGTCACAATAAACATTACCTTCGAGCCTCATCTGTCTTTTCGTCTTTACACTACTGGCTGATATGAGTGGTACATAGCTACTCACCTCAATCACTCAGTAGTTCATAGTTTTATATATTTACGCTTGGTTTTTTGATTACCATTTGTGGTATCAAGTAGACCATATATTGTGATGTTTTCAGAGGAAGCTACAGTGAAATCATCACCTCGAGCTATGTAAATTGAGAATCAGTTGCAAACTCAAAATTTGATAAACGTAATGCCAATGAAGTTTTTTGGACAAGTCAAGTGAATTAGAGATATATTAGTTAAATCCCAGTGCATTATTACTTTGTATAAGAGATCCTGTTCATCAATCAGGTCTAGATAAAAACTACAAATTCAACAAATTGGTCATACACTTACGTCCCCAGTTCAGTCGGTTATAACATAAAATAATATCAAAGTTGTTATGACTACTAGAAGTAACAAACACAGTTTCATGGAATTACTAAAAAACCGAAAATGGCATTTTCACTACATTACACATCATGCCAAATGAAATAGACACCTGCCGCTAATCATATCATACAAAAAATGAGAGATATCATGATTCCAGTCAGCTCTAAGTAAAAGTGAGCTACAAATTAGTCAAATGACAAACTGTATAAATCTTGCATTCGATCAAATGACTGTTGAATCAACACACTACTTTACACAGAAACGCTGGGCTTTAAAATACACAGAAAAAAGAGCAGAAATATGACGAGACAACAATCCATAAACACAGGCATGGGGATATTAATTAAATTTAGGTCCGGTGGATGTAGTCTGGATCTGAAAGATGATAAAGAGTGAATACGTTTGACCTACTGCGAAAAATTCTCATCCATCTTACCTAAACTATTCAGCCACTGTATCTCAGTATTTGTGCATGATCATTACACTCACTCAATATCTTATGAACAACTTGAACTAGTGATTTAATATTTACCATTACACCACACAATACTCAGCATCTTTTGTTGTATAGTAGGAGTAAACTTATAAGCTAGTGAATTTGTTAAAAATTTTTATAAATGAAACAACAAATCAGTGAGTGATTCAAAATAGGTAATGTAAAAGGTATTTAGTACTATGCTCATCCAGAAGTTTTTTGCTCTGAAAACTAACTAAGAGAAATAAAACATCGGTAAACACATCATTTCCAAGAACATACTGACAGATTCTGTCAGTGGATATCGGTGCGATTGATCTAATACTGAAGAAATCATCTGAATTTCCGAAGTATTTTAATTTCTCTAAAGGTAAATTTTTCAGGTGGTATATACTTGAATAAATGTCCAGTGTCAGTCTAAAAACGAGGAACACTTTACTGATAGAATTTACACTTTTTTCTCCTTTTTTCTATGCTATAGGTTCATTTGGAAACAGTTACAATCTAGCTCATATTGGCACGGGCATACTGTTGGCTTTGATTTTTCTTCTTTCCATAGCCTGTTATGTTTATTATCATGAATACAAACGTAGGAAAAATATGCCATTGGATCCTTTAACAGAGTTAACTGGTTCAAAACACTCACTAGCATTGAATCAATCTACTCAAAAACTGAATGCACACTGTTCAAACAAGAAACATCAACTGCATAAGCATCACAATTGTCAAACGTCTGGATTACTGTGCGATTTGTTAACTGAGAAAGAAACTGATGTCAGTTCAGTAAAAAAGCATCAACATCATCGTCATCATTATCTGCATGCCCAACATCTGTCACATTCGCATCAAGTCTCCTCGCATACTCATCCTCACCGTCATCACCACCATCATAATCATAACAGAAAAGTGTTTGAACAGGGTGGACACTCACATTTAGTCAATGCACAACATGATTATCATGGAGCACATTTTCCCTTGGATAATCAACATGATCATTGTCGTACAAACAGAATGAGTAATAAATTGCAACAAAGGACTCCATCACATTCAGGATCACTAGTCAGAAATGGTGGACGTACGGTGGTACCAGATTCTTTACATAGTAGTGCTGCTAACAATCCAGGTGGATTACTTGTTGCGGGAACTGGGACTAATCTATCAACCAGTATGGATGGAGGTTTACTTATCAGAGAAAGAATGCAAAAAATATCGATAGTTTGATTTCCGTAAAAGGTGGAAATAAGCAGCTGTAAATAGATTTCCAATGCGTCTTCGTTATTATTTTAAGTTTTTACCTATTACATACAATTTTGATGTAGTCAGATAGTGATATTATTTACTGTTACTATTAGTTCTAGGTATGAGAAGCAAATGTCCTTACAAACACTATACTATACCGATGCCTAATCATTCCAATTTTTGTGCGTGCTGTACACTATTCACTAAAAAATGGAGCTAACGGAAATTCAAGATTAAAAAATGTTTGATAACCTCTGTCTTTAATTTCTTTTTCACTTGTCCGTCGTCTTTGTAAGTGATATTCAGATAAGTCTATCTTTTCCAGCAGTTTGAAATTACCTATTCCAATTTTAAATGCAAATTTTTAATTCCTAGCGTTCTTTTTGTTGCATTTTCAATCAGTTCAAATTGCATTATATATATATATATATATATATATATATATATGTAACATGTGAGCAACTTCCTGCTTATATTCATTCTTTAACTGTCTGTAAATAATTCAGTGAACTGTATTCACAAAATATTTGTAAACTAAATATTGCTTTGTATAAAAGCGGGAAATACACGTGATGTTTTCTCTTCCCCTTTCCTAACACCGTCACTCTTACTTGTTGTTTTCTTACTTCCGAACTCAAACTACTAGAGATTACGTTATTCTGAGGAATCCGGTGTTTGAGAAATTTTTTAACGCAGAAATCGCTTATTTCTAAGCATGGTGTGTTTTGTGTAATCTGATAAGTAATTAAATAAGTTTTTAAAGTTCTGTGTCAGTTGACAGCGGTCTCATCCAACAGTAAACTAACATATCTAACATAATATCAGCTAGGTAACTGTATAATCCGTGTAAACCAAATATGATTGGAGAGCAAATATATAAGATAAACTGAAAAAAATTCTGTGTTATTGTATTCTTTAAGTTGGATGGTTTATCTGCTAGGCTTTCATAGTCTTTTAAGACAACACATAACACATCCGTCTCATTTACACCTCCTCTCTGGAAGTTTAGACAGAAGAAAAAAATAATAGAAAGGCTACACGATTTGATTTAAATAAACAGATTTAAATTGTCAGTATTCAACAGCTTGGCTAGTAATTTGTTAGTTTGTTTTCAACTCGAAAATCGTCGGTTTCTCGCTATGATTTCATAGTTGTTATTATTGAGTGTTAACTAAACAGGAGTTGCGTAGCTTGTATCTTTGATTTCAAGGTTGCTTCCCTTATAAACAGTTAGTTAGAAAGCCGTTAAAAAAGCCAAGAGCGCTAATGAGCTACTTAGTTTTGTTTTGAAACAATTTATTAGTTCATATCTACAATATTACCATAGATTGATTTCTGAACAATTTACTATCTACCCCATGTGAAGTAATCCAGCTCTAGACGATTTGAATTTCCTCTAAATGGTTACGTAATGGCAGGCGGATTGTAGTCTGAACAGCTTGCAGTAAGATTTTATTCCTCACGTGGTCACAGTTAATTCATTTACTCTTCACTGTTATGCTTTTCTTCCTGTTGAACTTTATACCTTGTTTAATATGTCGTTAACCTACAACACTTTCAGAAAAAGAATAAACACAAACGCCAGTGGTTTCCGGTAATTTCTTTAGGATGTAAAGCTATAATAGTCAGTAAAAGCAAATGGAAATCATATCAGAAACTGTGCTAAGGTGCAAGTGCAATATGGAATTAAAGTTAGTCGGTTTTGATTATCATTTGAATATATAAACTATACAGTCGGTAAGATCATAAGATAAAATGAGATTAAACAACTGAGTGATGTGTTTACATATTCATAATCAATTATACTATGGGTTGCAATGAGTGAGTAGTATTTAATGTGTGAGAAGAAATATAAGTATCAGAAAAAAGGAATATTCTGAATGTAAGTTCGACAGATGGAGGATAACAACAGTAACGGTAAAATAAAGTAGTCATAATGTTACGTCTAATACTGTCCCTCCCAATATTCAAGTTGCACTTCATATACCACATTACACTTTTGGGTAAATTAGGTTTCATTTTGAACTGTTGTACATTTTTTGTTTGACTGGACACTTTTGGTGACTGAGAGCCGTTTTGTGTTCAACCATTTTGGTCTTGATATTTGAATGAGGGATAACCTCATAATTGAAGCTTGCACTTTAATTAGTTGCTACATTTTGTCAAATAGATCTGGATTCTGGATAGAAGATTGCTATTTTGTACCCTCTTTGAGAATTATTCATGCACTGGCTGAGACACATATACTGTTATTTTTCCAAACTTGAACGAGGAAACACAGGAAGAGATACGCCAGACAATTGTACCAATGGTCAAACAGAAAAAACAACACACACAACTCAACTTTCAAGAAATAAAGGCCCTCAAAAAGCTGAAAAATAGGAAGGACGTCGTCATTATACCAACCGACAAAGGAAGAACAACAGTAGTCATGGACAGAGAAGAATACACCAAAAAAGCTGAAGAACTACTCAAAGACGAGAATGTATATCAACAACTCCCAAGAAATCCCATACAAACATTGAACAACCGCATCCAAAGGACCTCAAACAAGCTCACCAAAAACTGGACAGATCACAAAACAAGACCAATGGCGAATGAAATCCAATGGACCAGTCCTACCCCGATTCTATGGCAGACCCAAAATACACAAGCCAAATATCCCATTACGATCAATTGTATCACTCCCAGGAACTCCAACATATAACTGATCCAAAGAATTATACACAAAGTTGAAACACCTTACGGAATCTTGTGATCACTGCATCAACTCTGCTATCCAATTCCTAGAGAAAAATCAGAGGCATCGAAATAGATGAACAAGAAATTATGATATCCTTCGACGTCACAGCATTATATACCTCAATTGGACAAAAACTAGCAAAAGAGACCATGGAGCAATTACTCAGCAACGACGAACACCTCCCACAACAATCAAAAATGCTACACAAGCTGGATGGAATGCATAAACCTACGCCTAAAAACGTAATTCCAATTCAACGGTCAATTATATGAACAAGTCAAGGGAACACCCATGGGATCGCCAATATCAGATTTGATTGCAGAAGCAGTGATGCAAAGGCTCGAAAACATAATCCTACCAAAGATCAAACCCAAGATTCGGATACGTCACGTAGACGACACATTTGTAATAATCAGAAGAAACGAGTTAGATAAAACTCGCAACTTGGTAAACAACCTCTTCAACGACATCAAATTCACAAGAGAAGAGGAATCCGATAACAAAATCCCATTTTCGGATGTTTTAGTCAAGCGAACAACTACAGGGAAATTAGAAACTCAAGTTTATAGAAAATCAACTCACACACACTAAATACTGCATTACGACATATAGAAAATCAAAACAAATGATGCAGCGAAGAGACTCTTTTCAACGAATTTATCATCAAGCTGTACAATCGTATATATATGGTTTTTAAGAAGTTATATCCGGTGAGGGAATTGAAACATAGGTGTGAATGCATAAAATAATAATATAGAATAATATGAAATGCAATTAAAACTAAAATGTTTGTGATTATAATCCTAGTTAAATGTCAAGTGGCAAAGCAAATTAATGTCATATATAGAATAATTCATAGGATGGATAGAACTTGTAAAAGATGTGCAATTATAAGATTAGTAGACAAATCGAATAAAATAAAAACGTTACGTAATATTGTGTGAAATTTAATAGCACAGAATTTAATGTTGCATAAAGGAATTGATTTAGAATGACAAGTGGAACAAGTGAAATAATACCGGGGATAATTAAAAGTGAGAGTAGTAATAGTAACAATTGACTTAATAAGGAAGAGTATACAAATTGAATAGACAAAAATGAAAAAATGGAGAGTTGGTAGAGCTAAAATACGATTCGAGATTGCCATACTTTAGCATAGAGGGATTAAGACCATGAAAGTTGGAGGGTTGAAAGAGCTTTTTCTGTACACAGAGATCTGGCTTTTCTGTTTCGATAGCCAAAGCTTCAGCAATACAGATGAGTCGGGTACGTAGGGATTTGGGTAAATTACTCTTTGCCTTGTAGATGACTTTGAAGGCGGAGGCTATAGAGATAGGGTGATCATTATCGACCAGATGTTCAATGATCGCGCTTCTTATTGCTCCACTTCCACCTTTTCGTAACCATGCGGGATAGTGTTCTTGCACCCCCTTGGACAAAACTCGTGTCGAACGACCGATATACCTAGCTCCACAAGAGCAGGTGAATTGATAAACACACATAGAGTTGGTCAACAGCGGGATCTTGTCCTTCAGGTTATTGAACAATAATAATCGACTAGTAAAGGCTATTCTCAGGGATGCATATAACATTAATTTGCTTTGCCACTTGACATTTAACTAGGATTATAATCACAAACATTTTAGTTTTAATTGCATTTCATATTATTCTATATTATTATTTTATGCATTCACACCTATGTTTCAATTCCCTCACCGGATATAACTTCTTAAAAACCATATATATACGATTGTACAGCTTGATGATAAATTCGTTGAAAAGAGTCTCTTCGCTGCATCATTTGTTTTGATTTTCTATATGTTACAATGGGAAATTTCCATGATTTGAGTCCAATATCACACAAAAGGAATTGCATACAGACGCTATTCAAGAGGGCCAGGACTCAGTGCAGCACTCCCACCTTCAAGAAAATTGAAGAAAGATATCTCATGGACGTCTTCCAAAAGAATGGATATCCACGGAATTTCATCAAAAGACATATACCCCCAAGAAAAGCACAAAGGAAATCGCCCTACCATATATAAAGGACATCTCAGAAATCACTGCAAAACTCCTCAAACCTTTACGAATCAACGTCTCACACAAACCAACAAAATCACTTCACTCAGTTCTATGTCAACCAAAAGACTCAGCAGCGAAAGAAAATAAAACCAACATCATCTACAAAATAAATTGTAACAACTTCGAAAAACACTGCATTGGCCAAAGTGGACGTCCCCTTCGTCTTCGTATCCACGAACATAAGCTAGCCGTCAAAATACATGATATCCACTCCCTCATATCACTACATACAGACAACCACGGACATCAATTCGACTGGGACAACGTTCAAATATTCGACAGAGGAAACAACGAGAATGCTAGAGAATTTTTGAAAGCTTGGCATTCCAGTGAATCACCAATCAATAGACACATCGAGATAGACAAAATTTATCAACTCATAAGAAAGAAACCTCACACACACACAAAGCGTAAAAGTTCAAGGCAAAGAAACAATACAAGTAACCTAGAAGGTGTGAAAACACACAAAAACAACCAATCACGTGCAAGGTCACCGGGAGAGATGATTAACAAACTAGTGGAGAAATCTAAAAGCTCACTTCAAATTGAAGTATGAGCTGAAGATGTCGCCTAGTAGGGCAATGAAAGCTTCGCAAATTAAGACCCAGCTCAGAGAACACAACCACTTCAAAAGCATCCACCTGAGCTACAAATCTTCTCTATCATAACTATTAAGGCTGGTAGGTGAGTCAAACGATCTGAGCCCCTAACATACGTAAAATTTCTAGAGAGACTACAGAGAGAACAATTCTAGGACTAAGTGCAACCAAATGCATAAATTCATTGGATTCTTACAGAAACACAAATTTTTCAGAAAAATGGCAAATATAAATAATATATGTGTAAAGTATGCTCCTGGTTTTCAATTTTGTCTAAAAGAGAAGACATTTTCACATCTTTTTGAAAATAAGTTACATTGAGTTACATTTTGGTAGAGTGTTAATTTAGAAAAATGAATATACCGACACTGAACCTAAAGACTGCAGAAATGTGGAATTAACACTGCACAATTTGGTGAGTCAGTCCTTTCATAGGCAAGCCATACCCCGGTTGGGACGAATCAGATCCATTTTCGTTTTGTTTATTTATTTTTTTTCATAAGTGTGGACATAATTTTAAGCTGTATTATAACTGTTAATTTTGTATTTCCCTTCACTATACTATATCAACAGAACATTAGACCCAATAATCTATAACATGCTAAAGCTCCCAAACTGAATCGACAATACCGTTTGAAACAAACTCACTGTTATTATTATTATTGTTATATCTAATAATTATGTCATAAATGTGGACAAATTCCTCCGATTAATTTTGTTTTAATTTTTAATTTTATATGTATTTTGAGTAAATCAGATGCAATATTGTGACAAATGCTGAGAATTCCATTCTGTATTATAAGTACTGTTTCTGGAATAAAGTACATTATTATCCTTTTCCTCTGCATAATCAGGTCCCATTTTAGAGTGCACTTCAGAAATAAATAACCGAGAAAAAAGCACCATAACACAAAAGATGATATGGATAAAAATAGCTCCATGGAATGCAAGATCACAGAATAACTCTGAATGTCTGAATTTTCGAGAATATTGTCCACGAACATGCCTTGATATTTTATCGCTATGTGTTCCAATTCTTTTATTATTTTTTGGTGGATGGCGAGGGTGTGATGAGACTGTTCAATTCTTTAACTAACGTCATTCCTCCTTCTTCGTATCTCAGCTGTCCTCGACGCCAGGTGAGTAAACACCCGTTAGATGGTCATAATTAGATGAAATCCTACCTCGCCACGAGGTGATCAGTATGCCGCTCACGACAGTTCTTCAAATGGTTTCCTTCTCAACATAACTAGGTTTTGCCTGCTGTCTCCACCTAGTTGTCATCTCCGTGGGCGGGTTAAACTTCCCAGCTAGCGTGAGTTCATTAGCTGTCATTATAAATAGAACCCACAAACAGTCCAACGGAATATATCATATAGCTAACCTTAGGGATACACATTACCTTGGCACCAGCACAGCGAACGTGGGATCGATGAAAAGATAATAACGTCGTCATAATATCGAGATGTTCAAGGTGTGAAGCACCAATTCCTATGGCTAGTATTACCGAATTCTCCACTGACACTTTTCCCAGGCGTATCTGTCCACCGGGAGCATGAAATGTGATCTGAGTAGACCTTCAAGGCAAAAGTATATGAAAGAGTATCCTCATATTGTTGACTTAAGCTGAGGAGACAGGATCGGTAAAACCCTGCTTACTAATATTAGATGAACGCGATCATGACAGCAAAAATTGGTTTGCAGACATTTACTGTCAGGTAACGGAAGGGGATACACCAACTACAAAGCGACCCATAACACTCTGATATAACTAATTCAATAGAAAACACTAGCCAAAAACTAAGTTCACGAATGATGGCATTACATTATTTCATAAGATATGCAGCAGGCACTCCAAACCTGCTGCGTGTAGATACCCTAAACATATTGGGTGTCTTCACGTTTTTTAGATTAACAGTAACGATCCGGTGACTGATATCATAACCCTAGTTTAGTTCAAGTCGGAACTCCCTCATGAGAAACAAAGGCACACAGTAGAGAACCCAAAACATAGACCCGGAATATAGGCTAGTCGAACTGATATCCATTAAGAAGCGGTTTCTAGTGGAGACTGATATAGGGCTGCTACAACACAGTACTCTGTGGATATATTAAATGATTAAGTAACTTGGAAGGTGGGACGGGAGACCAAGCAAGAACTACGTCCTCCTTCTAGTTCTTAAGGCTTCCATTATGTATTGAATAGCGAATGCCTCCTCCACGTGTTTCACAAGGTTTACTGCTTCAATTTCACTCTGCCGTGCTTTCGATGACAACGCTTTAAGAACACTATTAGTCTCCCATAATATTGCGAGCTGTCAGTCGGCGATTTGAGTAATTATTTTGACAGGGAAGTCAATTCTAAAAATACAGCTGATACCATGCTAGGGTCTTTGGCGCGAGACTTTCAGCGTTAGTAATGCTCTGATGGACTGGTGTTTCCACGATTTCGTATGTAAAGCGCAGGGACTCTAGGATGTGGATGACCCAAGAAGGCGGTGGCAGGTTCTTCTGAAGCCGTACAGATGGAACTATTGCGGATGGCCGACTTGTTACTTTTGCATCCATAAATCGAAGGAAAATATGTTTGCTCTCTGCATTGCTGGTCAGGGCATCCGAAGGAGTGTGCACTTCCCACGATACAAGCGTGTACAGTGTTCGCTCTGAACACCGCATCTGTATGGACATAAGTGTCGACTGTCATGGTTTAGGGGAGATGTAGGTAATCCATAAGGTTTCCGCAGCCAGTTATCGTTTACCAAAAGGCTTGTGTGTCTCGTGTTCAGGACCCGGGTGCAGGTCATACCACTTGTAAAGCATGCTTCAGTTCTGGTTGTTTGAGTTGGTAGTGCATAGACCAGTGGTATATGCTGTCATATGGGCTTCGTTAGATAGGGTAGCTAGTATTTGATCATCATGTTCCCTATAATAGTCTTTCGCTAGCTTCATCTGTGTTGGTCTTTCCCCAATAAAGACCTGGTTATCTGAAATAATGTTCTGGAGCCTCTCTCTCTCACCCGCAGCCTCTTCTGCACTGGTTCCCAGTGTGTCATAGAATTATTTCTCGTCTATTTCATCACCCTTCTTGATTCAGAGAGTTTTAGGTTGAATTGAGCTTCTCCTTCCGTTGTCCATCTTTGCATTGGTTCATCTGTTTCACAATTCCTTTGTTGTCTGTTAGCTTCCAGGTGTCCGTAAACAGCCACTATTTGTATGGACCCCTCTCCCTTTCTAAGACAGCTGCACAGGCACCCTTCAACGTCACTTTCAGAGAGTTAATGTGTTCGTCGAAACAGGCTTTCTGTGTAGTGATACATAGTGTCTTTGGCTTTTCTCCAATGGCTATGATGAGGGTGACCTTTATAGTGTCATCTCTCACTTCCTGAGTGGTGGCAACTCCAGTTCGGACAGTAATCAAACGCTCGATCTTCCTAGAAATCGTTAGGCGAATACAGGAGAGGAGAAGTGGTCTCATTTAGTTATACCAACTGTAACTAACTGGATGTCGGTCATGTTCCACAATAGGCTGCCATAGTTTAACTTCGCTTCTTTAACTTTTGTTCATGTCAGCAACGTTTGTGTGAAGAAATTGACTCTAGTTTGCACTGTTTTTCATTTTAGCATGCTTTCAAATGTTTTTAGGTATCAGGTGTTTCTATCCCAATGGCCGATTACTACACTCAGGATTATGGAGCACCAGTGGAGTATAATAATTCAGAAGCTGGTTACGGGTCCACCACTCAGCCTGCTGCAACAGGCAATGGCGAATACAACCAGTTTTCCTATGACCACATGAAAGATGAGGATGATTATCAAACAGGTGCTATGCGCAGTGATAGGAGACCACCATCGCCCCAGTCTAAGTACGATTCTGGTAGCGAGGATCGCGGTCGAGTGAAAAAACGTGACCGTAAAAGGTCGCGCAGCCGCAGCCGTGATCGCCGGCGTCACAGTCATGACCGTGATCGCCACTGTGACCGTAGCAGAGAACGCAAGTCCAGGCGGCATCATTCTCGTCATCGGTCTCCGTCCAGTCCACCATTGGTCTATAAGTATTGGGACGTCCCACCACCTGGATTTGAACATGTGACACCCGCTCAGTACAAAGCTCTCCAGGCATCGGGTCAGATACCGGTCAATGTTTATGCCGCGGGACAAGTGCCGATGCCAGTTCACGCACCGAATGCTCCACTAACACTCACAACGAACGTGCCGTTTGCTGGAAGTGCTGTATGCAGACAAGCTCGTCGTTTGTACGTTGGCAATATACCGTTTACTGCGACGGAAGAGAATATGATGGAGTTCTTCAATAAGCAGATGAGAGCTCAAGGTCTCATTCAGGCGGAGGGGAATCCGATAATTGCCGTGCAGATCAACATGGAGAAGAACTTCGCCTTCCTTGAGTTCCGTTCTGTCGATGAGACAACTCAAGGATTGGCGCTCGATGGTGTATTGTTTCAAAATCAAGCACTGAAACTCCGTCGACCTCGTGACTATGCTCCCCTACCCGGTGTATCAGAGCAACCTTCTGTCATTGTTCCTGGAGTGGTCAGTACTGTCGTTCAGGATTCCCCACATAAAATATTTGTCGGTGGTCTTCCTAACTATCTGAATGAGGACCAGGTGAAAGAGCTGCTGTTGAGCTTTGGCCCTTTAAAGGGGTTCAACCTCGTCAAAGATGGTTCGACCGGTTTGTCGAAAGGTTATGCCTTCTGTGAGTATGTGGATGCTAATGTCACAGATCACGCGTGTGCTGGTCTTAATGGCATGCAGTTGGGTGACAAGAAGCTGATAGTGCAGAGAGCGAGTGTTGGTGCCAAACACACAACCAATGTCCTACCTCAGAGTTTGCTACAACTACCTGGTCTGGAAGACGGCACAGTTCAGAACACAACTGGTTCGGGTAATATCACCATCCGTAGTGGTGGACCACCGACTGAAGTGTTGTGTCTAATGAACATGATCGAAACGTCAGAACTGGAGGATGACGATGAGTACGAAGATATAGTGGAAGATGTGCGCGCAGAATGCAGTAAGTATGGCGTTGTTCGGAGTCTGGAGATACCCCGTCCAATTCCCGGAGTTGAGGTTCCTGGAGTCGGGAAAATATATGTCGAGTTTGCCAGTGTGATTGACTGCCAGAAAGCCGCGACTGCATTGACTGGTCGGAAGTTCAACCAGCGTTTGGTTGTCACTTCCTTCTTCAACCCTGATAACTACCACCGAAGGGAATTTTAACCATATTTAACTATGGCTGTCTTTAGTTGTATATATGACACATTTTAAACTTAATGAATTGACCTACAAAAATATCTTACAGCGATTTAGTTTTGTCTTCTACTGTGATTTGTGTGTGACGAGAGTTGGGGCAGTCCAACGAACAGATCGTCTTCTGATGAGGTGAGGTGTCTCGGCGAGTAAAGGTGCATATGTGTATTTTCTAATACAGTGCTACTGTCAATGTAGTTGAAGAATGAACGATCATTTCATGGTTGTTTACTCAAAACAAACTCCACATTTTTGGGGGAGTCACCGATACTGCAGTCATTGTTCCATCGTACGCTGTTCGTTAGCAGACGGAGAAATACTACCGGAAGTATTATTGTGATTAATTGTTATGACATTTATTCTTAGACTTTGTGCATAATAACCTTATTGTGGTTCCATATTGGTGCAAGAATAAAGGATTCTCGAGTCACCAATCTGTGTTCTGTTTTCTCTCGTTGGTTATTGCACATTGTTGCTGAAGGTCTTCTAAGGACAGCGTTAAGTCCAGTGTAGTTAGACCTGGACATTGATATCTCCTGGAATTATTCGCTGTATTTGTTGACAATTCGTCTTTCCTCGTGTCCGCAAGTTTTCTTTGGACGAGTTTTATTTGGAACTTTCCTGGATCATTTGGTAACGTTCAATATTGCCCGGGCCGAAGAAATGACGAAGCGTTTTGGAGGCAGACGACAAAGTAAGTCCTGATGATTTGTCTAATGTGTGTAATGTTATGTCTGATGTTATGTTGGATAATAATGATGTACCAGCCAGAGAGATAAGTTGCTTAATGCCGCCGAAGTTCGAGCACAGGTGCATTAAAGGGAATCCTGCTGACTTTCCTCACTTTGTGAATGAAATCGAAGTCATGCTAGAGGGTTTGAAACTGAGTGATGAAATGAAACTAATGTACTTGTTGAAGCATTGTGCTGGTAGTGCAGTGAGTGCAATACAGTGTTGCAAGTTCCTGCCACCTAGGTAGGGATATACGGAGTATATGCGTATCCTGCGTCAACGGTTTGGAAGACCTTCGATGATTGTAAGGAACGTATTCGAGGCTGTTAAAGGTAATGGTAGTCAGTTACGAGACGACTCCAAGGCACTCACTGAGTTTCTGGATAATCTGATGACCTACAAGAATACGTTGGTTTCGATGAATTGCATGAGCGATGTGAACTCCAGTTCTGTCCTAGGGGAAATGGCGGGACGCCCACCTACTCGACTGCAAAGGAAATGGGTGAAGATAAGCTCTCGCATAGAGGATGAAGGTTTAGAACCAGGGTTCGACGACATACTGAGATTAGTGACAGATAATGTTTATCAGACCATGAGTAAATTCGCCACTATACTGCACCCGTCTTCTGAAACTGGGATGTCAGAGAGTAACGCTAAGTCATTTGTGACGAGAGGTTCTCAAAGCATAGGACGTTCAGGAAAGTGTGTTATCTGTGGCGACGTACACATACTTAGTGAATGCGCTCGTTTCCTTCAAATGTCTCCGACAGAAAGGTTACGAATTGTGAAAAGAAAACGGTTATGATTCTGCTGTTTAAAAGACGGACACACAAGGTTTGACTGTAAGACAGCTGAGAATGGTGGTAGTGATTCATCAGGATGACATCCGCTGTTGACAGTATCGAAGAATCAAGGGAGTTGTATTAATTGTAATAGCAGTTTCGCACCGCACGACTTCCAGAAGTTCTATTTAGGTGTTTTGCCAGTAAGAGTAAGAGGGCCAAGGTCATGTGTCGATACATATGCGTTACTAGATAATGGTTCAGACATAACTCTGATAGATACTAAGCTGGCTGGCTGCTTGGGTATTAAGGGCCCAAACAATCCTTGGTCCTAAAAACTTTCAATTCTTCGAAAACGTTAATATGTGAACGAGTGTCATTTCAGTTAGAATCCTTGACTACTGGAGAAACCGTGGAAGTAGGTACTGCTTACAGCTGTTCCAGCATGAAACTTGGCGAAGCTATAGTACCTGGTCGTGAAACAGTTGTCGGTAAGCCACACCTGTGTGACATACCGTTTTCAACACTGTAAGATAGTAGAGTGAGAATACATACTCACTGGATGCAGTGTACCAGAAGCTCACAAGGTACTAGAAGAGAGATACGGAAGTAGAGATGATCTGTTCGCGACGAAAACGCCACTGGGATGGACAGTGAGATGACCTATATCCATGGTCCACATATCATCCTTGGTTACAAACAATAGGGACAAACTGGAGGCTATGATTAGAAATATGTATGACAAAGAGTTCTGTGACAGCAGTGTTCCAGAGAAGTGTCGTTCTGTGGAAGACTTAAAGGCAGTTAAAATAGTTGAGGAGTCGTGTAGATACGAAAATGAGCGCTTCAGCCCTGGCCCACCATGGAGATTTAAAGATGGACAGTTGATTTGTAGCAGAGAAGCTGCTCTTAAGAGACTAATAGGTTTAAAGAAGTTTGTGACGGATGCAGGTCTCTGGACCAAATATAAGGATGTCGTCGACAAACATGTAATGAAGGGTTACGTTGAAAGACTAGTTGATCAGATTGAGCCAGGAAAGTGGTATTTGCTTCATCATCCCGTCTTTAATCCGAGGAGGCCAGGTAAACTCCGTGTGGTGTTCGATTGTTCTGCGAAACACGAAGGAGTTTCTTTGAGTGAAAATCTACATAGTGGTCCAGATCCAATATCCAATATCCTTATTACGAGCTAGTATAAACCAGTGATTTCTTTGAGCTAGCTTCTTGATTGTAAGTTAAAGGTTCCAGATCTTCGGTGAACTTATGCGTAGTAAATCCCGCCACTCGACTGCTTTAGCTCTGGTAGACTCCAAGAGGAGTGGTGCGAGGATTGGTCAAGATTGTGGTTTGTAGTGTGCAGTATGTTAGGACTCAACTGCTGCCGTGAATGGAGTTTCACCTAACACCCGTTGGTCATTCGGTGTAGTCATAAAAGTAGAATAATAATAATACGTTGTAGTGTAGATAATGTAGGTTGAGATAAGTGAAATAATAAAGGTGACCAAAGAAAAGATAGAGTAGTCGGTACAGTGAGAGAAGACAGGACGGGTCATGGGGATTTAGCTTGTATGCTTATCCATTGACAATGTGGTTTCAAATTTTAAGAGGATAAGCCATTGAGACACAAACCATGCATTTCTGCATGATTGTCCAGCTTCCGCTTAAAAGTCTCCACAGATGGCGCTGTAATTACGGCCGCCGGTAAAGCGTTCCAGAGACGGCAAATTCGAAGCGGGAAGAAATGTGAACGCACTCGAGTCTTTGGTCTCTGGTGTGCTATCCTTAGCGGGTTACCTCACTTAATGACAGGATGCTTTTATTGGGGTGGGCCTGGTCATTTAAGATCTTATAGACGCTGATGAGGTCTCTCCTGTGACTACGGTAACTAAGTGTGAAAAGACTTAATTTCTCCAGTCTTACCTCGTATGATTTGTTGCGGAGGCCGATCACCCATTTTGTCGCTCGTCTCTGGACACTTTCTAGAATGTTAGCATCCCTTTTGAGTAGCGGAGGAGCAATGATATTATGCACCTCAAGGAGTGGCCTCACGTATGTCGTATACAACCTTAAGAATAGTTCGGGAGTAAGAGTTCCCAGCTGCCTATGCATAAAGTTTGAGGTTGCGTAAGCTTTGGCGACGTCCCTCGTGTAATTTACACTGGTGTCTAGCTTTTCTGTTAAAATAAGACCTAGGTCGCGTTCTGCTGACACACAACTCAAGTTCTGGCCACCAAGGGTGTAATTTACACTCTGTGACCTGCCGGAATGAAGTTGCACTACTTTGCACTTCTTTAGGTTGAAAGGCATTCCGTTAGCCAGAGCCCAGTCTCCCAGAGTTTGCAGATCAGCCTGCAATCTGTCGGAGTCTTCCGATGAGTTTATTGCTCTCCAAATCTTTACGTCGTCAGCGTAAAGAAGCGCAGAGCAGTTCAGTTGACAGGGCAGGTCGTTGATAAAAATCAAAAACATCAACGGCCCTAAGATAGAACCCTGAGGAACCCCTGACGCCAAGGCGTGCCAGGATGATCGGATGCGGTTGACTTTGGTGCAGAATTCTCTCTCGCCTAAGTAATTTTTCAGCCATGCGAGAAGTGCTCCAGAAACACCCGCTTTGCTTATTTTGTGAAGGAGCAGACCATGGTGAACTGTGTCGAATGCTTTCGCAAAGTCGAGAAAGATCACATGGACTGGTACCTTTACATCCCAGGACAGTGTCCAATCGTTCCAAGCTAGTAGAAGATTCGTCACACAGGATCTTCCCCTCCTGAAACCGTGCTGTGCTTCATGGAGTAGGTTAGTCCCGTCGAAGTATTTTCTCATGTGATCGTCAATGAGACTTTCCAATATCTTCGATATCACTGGGAGTAGCGCAACTGGCCTGTAACTGGTCGCGTTCTGCCGGTTACCACCCTTGAAGATAGGGGATAGGATGGCTCGTTTCCATTCACATGGAAGTTTCCCTACATCAAAGGAGTGTTGAAAAAGATCACTTTGGGGTTGGCAGAGACTTTCTGAACACTGCTTCAGGACGGATGGTCTTATGTCATCGCAACCTGCAGACTTTCCCGAAGCCAATTTCCCAATTTTACGAGTACCATAGCCGGGGTAATTTGAAATGTACCCAGCAGGTTTTCGCACGTTGGTCTTGCATTGTAATCTTGATGTTTTGTGGGGGTAAAATCCTCGTTACTGTTCAGTTGCCTGTGAAAGGCTAGACTGAATGTCTCTGCCATTACAAGACTAGTAAGAGATTTCCCATCAGAACCCACTAGATTGCAAGCTCCCTGGTTGGTCGGTTTTCTTTCAGACATAAACCTGTATAGGCTTTTGGGGTTCATGAGAAGCTTATTGGCGAGGTTTCTCTGAAATGTCCTTCTATCACTCCGGACTCGTATGTTACATCGATTCCTGAGTTCGAGGTACACTTCATGTTCGGGTTGACTCTTCGATACTCGC